ATTTCCGTAAGGCTGTTCTTAATGCCATCACTCCATATTTTCCGAGGTCTTCCACTCGCTCTATACCCGTTGTAATGTTTTAGTGTGGCTCGCTGTGGTAGATAGTACCAGGGGATTCTTGTTAGGTGTCCAAACCACTTCATTTGTTGTTCTTTGATGACCTGTAAGACTGGCTTTATTCCTAGCATTCGTCTGATTGGTTGGAGTCTACTACCTTTATTTAATATCTGAGACGTGGTCCATTGGGCCACTAGGATATTAAAGAATGAGGGTCCTGGACAGTAAGTAGACAAGCTGAAACACATTTATTGACACCAGAGATTTGCTTTTTGAGAAGAATGCAAAGAATATCATAGAGTGATAGAAAACAAAAGTGGTCCTTATCAAGACAGATGAAAGTAGTAAACTGATGAGAACAATTAGACGTGGACAGGCAGTGTTTTCTGGACATGTTATGAGAAGGATTGGACTCGAGAACTTGGTGAGGATAGGATGAGCTAGCCCATCTCACTGCAACCATCCTTAGTTGCCTCTTATGACACGTATGATAGGACAAGAGTCAAAGAGGTGCTATTCTTTGCTTCCAGTATGTGCCTGGACAACAGTTGAATCCCTTTGTGGGGTTTCGGGAACTATTTTGGGGGGGACAAAAGAATAGACCCACTGCCCAGCTAACAAGTTTATTGTAAGAGGTGGCTATGCTAATTCGGGGTTTCCTGAAATAAAATGTGTTGGGTCAAAAGGCACAGATATCGCGGTCTAGCTATAAATCACAACACAATGTGACAACCATCTTTTGAGGTCGCACACAGAGGTTGAAGAAGAAATGAGTCAGTACCTATAAATTTATTTGTAATGCTATTCATACATAACTTGTGTTTGTTTCCATTTCCAGGCCCGCATCAGCAAGAACAACCACACCATCTCGCAGTGTTTCTTGCCAGAGGAGAGCACAGTTATAAATATTTATATCTTTTCAGTTTTTGTCATATTGGCTAGTTTACTGTGGCCGACTATTTCTTACAAATATCGGCATAAATTATACTAATGAACATTGCAGGCATGTTACTTTGTAGATGTTTTGCTTTTGGTGAGGTTTTAGAACTGTGGTTCTGATATATTTACAGGAGTGCCTGAGGCAGGGAAAGAACGCGAGGCTGTTTGAGGCAGGGAAAGAACGCGAGGCTGTTTGAGGCAGAGAAAGAACGCAAGGCTGTTTGAGGCAAGGGAAGAATAGATGGCATTTAGTGCAAGAGGAACATTTGAAGACAGGAGAGAATGAGTTGCATGAAGCTGTTTGGGGCAGAGGAAGTTTAGAGTAATTGAAGAATATGAGACTGTTTGTACGCAATTTTCAAAGGGTCACAAATAAGACTTGCAGGCCTGTCTTAAATTATGGAAGAAAATGAGTATGTAGAAGAAATTTGGAGTAACTGAAAAAAAAACGATACAATACTGTTTGAAACAGTGTAGGCTAATAGTTGAAGAAATGGAGGCCATTTGGTGTAATTTTCTTTCTTTTTATTTTTAATATCTGATAATCAGAATTGGATCCTAACTGCATCAGTGCAACTTATAACTGACATTCTTTAATGCAGAGACTACGGGGATCTGACTTGTAGAAATGCTGTTGATTTGTTGCAGTATGTCCCCACGTACAGGCACTCTGATTGTGAAAGCAGCTGAGGATTCACGTTCTTTCAGTTTTTGACGTACTGGCTAGTTGACTATCTCCGACTATTTCTTACAAATATTGGCATAAATTATGCTAATGAACATTCCAGGCATGTTACTTTGTAAGGATGTAGAAATGTAGTTGTAATACAATTGAAGAGATGTGCTTGAAGCACTAACAGAATGTGAGGAAGTTTGATGCATGGGAAGAATATTTGTCTGTTTATGCAGCATGAACATTTGAGGACAGGGTGAAACTGCAGTTGAGTCAGGCTGTTTGGGGTCATGGTCAACGTAAGTAAAGGACCCTTTTCCACGCCTCTAGGGCATATAGGGCAAGACCTATATTTTATAGACCAATTGGCACAAGATGGGTGATGTGGTCAGCATTACGCCGGCCGCCTTTACTTCCCGGGACGGTACCCGGTACCCACTCAAGGCTGCGTCGAAATGGGAGCCAATGTCATTTTTTTTTTTTAAAAGTCCGGCTCCACCAGGAGCAAACCCACGACCTTCCGAACCGTGGCAAGTTTCTAGCTTTTTTTAACTTTTATTTTCGAGGGTCACAAATTAGGCTTGCATGCCTGACGTAAATTATGAAATAAAATGAGGTTGATGCAATTTGTTTTTTTTTAAACTAATCAAATTTGGAGTCTGACTGCAGCAGATCAACTTAAAACTGACAATCTTCAGCTTCAGCATGGAGATTACTGTAATTGACTTTTATAAATGTTGGAGTGGAATACAAGCCATATGTTGTACTTAATTTAGACTTGTAGAATAGGAACAACAGACGCTGTTCTTAAAAACATAGCTCCGTGATTGCCTGCTCAAAAGCAGTGGAAGACAAAAAAGAAGGGTGAGTCAGTGGAAGAGTATGAGTTTAAAGTAGTAAAGGAAAATCAAGAGTGTATCAGGTACAGACAGAACATGAGGCTGTTTGAGGTATAGGAACAAATGAATGTGAGAATGAGGCAGAGGAAGAAGTTGATGCAAGAACTTGAGGCAACAGAAGAACAGTGATAAGCAGACGTCCTTTACTGTGGATGTCCAGAGATCTGCACTGCAGAAAGGTCCTAGGTTGACCTTGACTCAGCTGCCAGTGAAATTTTGGACTGATCTTGCTTCAATAAAGGTACTCATTGATTTAAAATCAGAAAATAAACATACGAGTGTCTGTGTTTACATTAAGTGTTCAAAGCCATGTTTGCTTCTCTCCTTCAAGTCCCATGGTTGAAGAGAAATGATAAGGCAAGCTTCTATTATGTTGAAGATTGTAATTGTTCAAGAAAAAAGAGAGAAGTCACTTGTCTACTATTAACATGTATCTTATAATCTGTAGTGATAATGTTAGCTAGCTATCATTTATGTCCAGTCTGTTTTGTCTACTGCCTATTTCTCTCAGGACTTTCTTGTGGTAGTTGCAGTTTTTTCTTTTTTAAAAGCACAATTTCTTCGTCTTTCTAATAGACACTTTATGATGAGTACCGGCACATTTGTAGACACTTTATGGTGAGTACCAGCACACTTGTAGACACTTTATGGTGAGTACGAGTACTTTTGTAGACACTTTATCATGAGTACGAGTACTTTTGTAGACACTTTATCATGAGTACTTTTGTAGACACTTTATCATGAGTACTTTTGTAGACACTTTATGGTGAGAGCTGGTACCTTTATGTTCAGGGGGGAAAAGCCGTGAATATTTCTGAGACATGTTCCTCAACACCATGATGTTAAACTGTCTTCCCCTTGCTCTCTCCGTTTTTATGACTGACATATATACAAAGTAATTTCTTCACAGACCTTGACTTTTTTGCTGTGTTGTGGACACTTTCTACCTCCTGTCAAATAATTTGTGATGTTTGTACTTGCAACATTCCACTTTATTGAGAGTAAGCAGTCTATAGCACAAAAAATAAACATATTTTTACATATTTCTCTTGAATTATAAGTTTTTCTCATGTGCAGTGTTAAATTTGTTTCAGATATCCAAATGGACTGTATTAACATGTTGAACTTTATCAAAGTCTCTGAAAATACTGATCACATTATGTTGAATTTGGTTCAAAATAACTAAATTTACTGCATAAGACACATTATATTGAGTTTGGTTCAAAATAACTAAATTTACAGTATAAGACCCATTATATTGATTTTGGTTCAAAATAACTAAATTTACTGTATAAGATACATTATGTCCTCACAAATCACCTGTTAGTCTCAACATTGTTTTTTAGCTGCATATCTTTTACAGGACTTCACAAAACCAATCACAGTATTGATTTGTTGACTTTTGTGTGGTTTTGATGGACAATTTGATGTTCAGCAGTTAGTTACTGCTTTTTTTAGCGTAACGTTGAAATGAAAACAAAGTGGCATGCTACCAGATCACCAGCAGTTGACCTCAAATCCTGACATTTCAGGATTATGTAATTAAGCTTTTCTTCTGAATTCACCTTTAAAATGGTAGATGTGTTGTGGTTTACAGCAAGGTTGTGATATCCTAGCCTTTCTGCCCAACACATCTGACTTTAGCAACACCATAATAAGTTACCTTTAAAACATGCTTATTATTAAGTGACAGTGGGCATTTTTTTCTTTTCACATGGGGCCTCGGAATCCCCCAGGGAGACACGGAGTTCAAAGCCCTAAGCCATTTGCCAACAGTAGGCAAATTAAACAGAAAGTGGAAATTTAGTCTAAGTTCAAATAAAATGAAGATAAGATTTTAAATATGTTTTAGTACACAATTCTCTCCTGGAACCAAAATTTTGACTTGAAAAGCAAAGAAACCAAAATAAACCATAAGTTGTGGAAAGTTTATTTCTGGGACACAAATAAAAAAAAAAATAAAAAAAAAAAACTTCCAGGCATCCAACATTTCTCTAGCAGACACACAAATATGCACACATTGGAACAGACAGTGCTGCTCTTCTATATATTGTAGACAATAACAACATGTGATTATTTGTCATGTGACATATATATACAGGCCTTTACACTATTTACTGAACCAATTCTTTCTCCTCTCATAGGCAAACATGCCTACAGAGTTGAAACAGAAGCCTTGTATATTACATTGAAACAATGTAGAATCACTGACCTACATCTAGATGCTAATCAAGAAAACCATGTTTGATAAAAATAAATGTCATATACATCATATTAATGCCCATAGTGTTATGAACAAAACAGGAAACTTTTAAACTGACAGTCAGTTTGTGACTTAGTATATACCCTACACCTGTGACATTTCTTTGTTATGTAAAACAAAATACATGCTATGTAAACTGTTGTCTTTTTAAACAATCACAGGAGATTAACTATTTGGCTTTTTTAAAAGGAGTTTTGCCTTTTTTCTTGGCTGGTGTTTTGGTTTCTTCTGCCTGTAAAAATGAAAGAAAAAAAAAACATAAATAAATAAGTACTGAAAAGTAAATGAGCATACAGTTTTTCATTATTACTCAATCCTACTAGCCATAAATACATTTTAGAAATTAAATGCAGTAAAACCTCATTATGTGAGTGTACCTGGCCACAAAATTGTCAGGCTCGACATCTTTTTGTCCCTGGAATATGAGGTGAAATCCAAGATGCGAGCTGGAAAGACAGAACTCCCCAATTTTACCCAACATTTTTTAAAGGATCATGTCACATTAACACTGCCAGGGAGGACTTAAGCCAGCTGACACAGAACCTGATGGTGACTGATTAGCATCATGGTCGGAAGTAACCCCATTTTCCACTAACAGCAAAAACAAAAAGCAGTGCCATACATCTTATCTACTGAACAATTTTTAAACACTTTGAAATTAACTGTGTGATTTTTGGACAGCCGGGACAAAGTATAATTATTGACATTTATTTTAACGGAAAAAAATAGTTTCAGGACATGAGATCAGTATCCTAAGGTTCCACTGTGTTCTCATTACTGCACTTAGATATCTCCACAAGGAGTTCCGTCTCTTTCTGCAGATCATGCAATAGGAATTTCTGTATGAAACCCCGTAGCCCTGGTGAACATCCAAATACCTCTTGTGTGTCTGGAGACAAGGATAAGAATAGTTCCCTAGCAGACACAGCAAAATGGAATGTGAAGTGTCAGGCTTTCACATTTTGTAGGTCAGCTACCTTTCTCACCTTCTCTTCTTTCTGGATAATTACTAGAATGCTGAGTAAATTGTCCACTACACATTTCAAAGAGGCTGTGTCCACTCTAGACTCTTACCGGTCAGGCAGGCTTTCTAAGGTCTAGTCAGGTTTTCCCCCCAAACTGACCCCAAAAAGATGTTTTCTCTCCAAAATTGCAGAATTTTACAACACTAAATGAAAGTTTATTCATTTCTGCACATAATAATCCATGTTTTGCTGCAAAATTCAATCTGAAAGATTACTTTATTCAACTGGTATGGTAACCTTTTATAGGAAAAATGTTCAAACTGCCATAACTCAGTTATTTATCAACGTATTTTAATTATTAAAAATTTGCCCCATTTGTTAGAAATTATAGAACTGTGATAGTCTAATCCATAGTTGAAGATATGACCTAGAAATAGCTGTCAATGATGCTGTTATTATTTAAAATGAAGAGGAACTAGGCGACACTAAGCTGGTGCACAGTGTTTCCACATTTTATCAAGCACGCCAAACAGCAGATAAAGAAGGGAATAAAATGGATAAGAAGATAAAAAGAGCAAGATAAAGTATTTAGACCGCAGGGGAATATCCTGAGGATAACTCGTATACATCATGAGCTTATTAGGTAAAGGATGATTGTGAAACCCAGCAAGGTCAGTTAGTCCTTTGCGTTTTCTCAAAATCCCTTTCTTTGACATTTTGTAACTGTGTTACGCAAAATATCTCAACAAGTTATTAACATATTGTCTCCAAATTTGGCACACATATAGGAACATAAAAACCAAAACAGAATGAGCTACAATCCTTTTGGATTCTTTTGTCAAGAATGTTAACATTTACCCTCATTTTGTGAGATAACAATTATTGTTCCACATACATGCATAACTTCTCAAATGTAGCTATAAATCAAAAGTGTTTATTTAATTAGGTGTAACAAAGAGTGCACAATCTATCTGTCAATTTTAATTAGGCCATCTTTATTAGTTTCTGAGATATCCTGATGCCATCTTGAGAACAAATTGGGAAATTTTCAGCATAAATTATGTCATTTTTCAATAAATAACCACAAGAATCTGAAAATATGTTGATCTGTGCCCACACAAATAAATTTTTCTTCAATCTGTAACTGATACGTACTTACAGAAAGCAGCAAACATTACCCCCCCCCCCCCCCAAAAAAAAAAACATATATGAAAAGGACATATTTGAGGCACTAAGTCACCAAGAAATTTGATGTTCACTGTTACACATCTCACCTTGCGTTTTGTTGTTTTTGAGGATGATAACACAGAAAAGAACGAATCCATTCGTCCTTGCATTGTCCCTTGTCTTGACTTTAATAACTTTTTAGCACCATTTCTAATTCTCTCCTCACTAGAACAGAGATTGTTTTGCAATTAGAATACATTGAACTGAAAAATCTGCCCTAACTTGATAATGTTAAATGTTGCAGTGGGGGTTAAATATCAGAAATGAGGTCATAAGAGGAAAAAGTCAGCAGAGAACTGATTCTAAATTATATACAAAGACAGCAAATCAAATGGTCTGTCCATTTAAAGATAATTCTTTGTGATATCACACATGTCATACACCAAAAGAGCAGACAGATGCCCAGCATAAGGTTGACAAAGAACAAGATGGAAAGGTAACATCATCAACTCTAAAACAGCACGCTGTGTCTGTGGTCAAGATGGCTAGAAGAACAGAACCTTATATCTCCTTCAAAACCCAAAGCAGTATCAGAGGAAGCAAAGAAGAAGCAGACAACGTCAATAGACAATATGAAATAATAATTTCAAACCTAAGCTCAAAGCACACACACCCCAATCATCATCACACTGTACTGTCACAGATGACACAGGGCTTGTAGTTTATTCTTCCACTGTTTAATCCTGTACAACTTTTACATAAACCTTTACTGACTGTCTCCCATGGACAAATCAGATTTTTATTGGTTTCCCCACCAGTGCCGGTTCGAGGGCTCCATTTAGAATAGACCCACTGCCCTGAACAAGCACAGCGTACGAGGCCACTAATTAGGGGTAATCCCTTCAAAGCTGGGGTGCAAGTTCTGAGAGGCAAGGAAACAAGTCTGTATAAATAAGCCAGATCTGTAAAACCGGTGTGCATGCAAAAACTCAAGTCTCTGATCAAGTTTAAAGTCCAGGAGTGGATGAACAACCAGAACTTTCCAATGAAGCTTACAATAGTGAACACTAAGAAAAAGATTGATCCCCATATAGTATAGAAGCCTGTGGACAGGGGAACTAGACAGACCATCTCATTAACCACAGTCTAGAATTTGAGTTATTCTACAGCCCAACATCAGCATCCACCACAGGACTATAATTACCCTTTTTTTAAAAAACCCCACAGCAGAAGATCTCAGAACATTGTCCGGCTTCAATCCCCAGCAATAACATTTTTCTGTAGCAACCACAGTTCTCAGGCCAACCTAGATTTATAAAATGAGTGCCAAAAAATGGCACTGATCCCTTCAGCTCATTATGCCACCGCCTATATGTGAAGGCAACATTTTACACTGTAGTAGCAATATATGATACACAATAGTAGCTTTACTCTGATAAGTTAACTGCATATCCTTTACAGGACGTTGCAGAACCAACCCCAACAGCCCCTGGCTGTTGTGTGGTTTCTCTAGGCAAGTTACATCCAGTAGTTTGCCATTGCTTTCTGGACGGTCAGCTTTCTGGTTACCACTGTCGAAACCAACGCAAGACACATTGTCCACAGCTGGGATCGAACCTGGCATCCCGGCATTACGAAGCGAAGCGTTCGCATCGACTTAGCCACAGAGCCGACCTTTACTCTGATACTTTGAGTAAAACAACATTTTATTCTCATTGTCAAGTTATTGTGGTGTAAGTTTATCTATTCATATTATTTTCTTTTTCAAGTGAAATATTTTTTATTTCTGTCAGTTCTGTGCACACTTACTTGAAACTTTTCTGGTTCACCATAAACTCAACTAGTCCATCTTCATCTGGATCAGTCCATTTTAGCTGGAGAGTGAAAGAGAGAAAGAGGGATACAATCATTATACATCTCCTGGAGAAAGGTACAATCATTAAACTTCTTCTGGAGAAAGATACAATCAGTAAACACCTACTGGAGGAAGATTTAATCATTAAACACCTACTTGAGAAAGATACAATCAGTAAACACCTACTGGAGGAAGATTTAATCATTAAACACCTACTTGAGAAAGATACAATCAGTAAACACCTACTGGAGGAAGATTTAATCATTAAAACACCTACTTGAGAAAGATACAATCAGTAAACACCCAAGGGAGAAACAGAGGGAGAGATAAAACTTTTATACACCTACTGGAGAACTTGAGCAGGAGACACAATCATTACACATCTACTGGAGAGAGAGAGAGAGAAAGAGAGCGAGAGAGAGAGAGGGGGGGGGGGGAGATACAAATTCAATCATTTGAACATCGATGGGAGAAAGACACAATGATTAAACACCTACTGGAGAAAGAAAGCGAGAGACAAAATCATTAAACACCTATTGGAGGGGGGGGGGGGGGGGTAAATATAAATACAATCATTAAACATTGGTTGGAGAAAGAGAGCAAGAGAGACAATCATTAAACACCTACTGGAGATAAAGGGGGGAGAGATACAAATACAATAATTAAACGTCAACTATACTGCTACCTCAGTTAACTAACATCAACTATACAGCTACCTCAGTTAACTAACATCAACTATACTGTTACCTCAGTTAACTAACATCAACTATACTGCTACCTCAGTTAACTAACATCAACTATACTGCCCCCTCAGTTAAATAACATCAACTATACTGCCCCCTCAGTTAACTAACATCAACTATACTGCCCCCTCAGTTAACTAACATCAACTATACTGCCACCTCAGTTAACTAACATCAACTATACTGCTACCTCAGTTAAATAACATCAACTATACTGCTACCTCAGTTAACTAACATCAACTATACTGCTACCTCAGTTAACTAACATCAATTATACTGCCCCCTCAGTTAAAAAACATCAACTATACTGCCCCCTCAGTTAACTAACATCAACTATACTGCTACCTCAGTTAAATAACATCAACTATACTGCTACCTCAGTTAACTAACATCAACTATACTGCCCCCTCAGTTAAATAACATCAACTATACTGCTACCTCAGTTAAATAACATCAACTATACTGCTACCTCAGTTAACTAACATCAACTATACTGCTACCTCAGTTAACTAACATCAACTATACTGCCCCCTCAGTTAAATAACATCAACTATACTGCTACCTCAGTTAAATAACATCAACTATACTGCTACCTCAGTTAACTAACATCAACTATACTGCCCCCTCAGTTAAATAACATCAACTATACTGCTACCCCAGTTAACTAACATCAACTATACTGCTACCTCAGTTAACTAACATCAACTATACTGCCCCCTCAGTTAAATAACATTAACTATACTGCTACCTCAGTTGAATAACATCAACTATACTGCTACCTCAGTTAACTAACATTAACTCTCCGCACTGCTACCTCAGTTGAATAACATCAACTATACTGCTACCCCAGTTAACTAACATTAACTCTCTGTACTGCTGCCTCAGTTAAATAACATCAACTATACTGCTACCCCAGTTAACTAACATTAACTCTCTGCACTGTTACCTCAGTTAACTAACATCAACTATACTGCTACCTCAGTTAACTAACATTAACTATACTGCTACCTCAGTTAACTAACATTAACTCTCCGCACTGCTACCTCAGTTGAATAACATCAACTATACTGCTACCTCAGTTAACTAACATTACCGCTCCGCACTGCTACCTCAGTTGAATAACATCAACTATACTGCTACCTCAGTTAACTAACATCAACTATACTGCTACCTCAGTTAACTAACATTAACTATACTGCTACCTCAGTTAACTAACATTAACTCTCCGCACTGCTGCCTCAGTTAAATAACATCAACTATACTGCTACCTCAGTTAACTAACATTAATTATACTGCTAAATCAGTAAACTAACATCAACAATACTGCTACCTCAGTTAACTAACAACATTTCTCTATACTGTTAACTCAGTTAACTAACATTAACTATACTGCTACCTCAGTTAACTAACAACATTTCTCTATACTGTTAACTCAGTTAACTAACATTAACTATAATGCTACCTCAGTTAACTAACATCAACTCTCTGTACTGCTGCCTCAGTTAAATAACATCAACTATACTGCTACCTCAGTTAACTAACATTAACTCTCCGCACTGCTGCCTCAGTTAACTAACATCAACTATACTGCTACCTCAGTTAAATAACATCAACTATACTGCCCCCTCAGTTAAATAACATCAACTATACTGCTACCCCAGTTAACTAACATTAACTTTCTGTACTGCTGCCTTAGTTAAATAACATCAACTATACTGCTACCCCAGTTAACTAACATTAACTCTCTGCACTGTTACCTCAGTTAACTAACATCAACTATACTGCTACCTCAGTTAACTAACATTAACTATACTGCTACCTCAGTTAACTAACATTAACTCTCCACACTGCTACCTCAGTTGAATAACATCAACTATACTGCTACCTCAGTTAACTAACATCAACTATACTGCTACCTCAGTTAACTAACATTAATTATACTGCTACCTCAGTTAACTAACATTAACTCTCTGTACTGCTGCCTCAGTTAAATAACATCAACTATACTGCTACCTCAGTTAACTAACATCAACTATACTGCTACCTCAGTTAACTAACATTAACTATACTGCTACCTCAGTTAACTAACATTAACTCTCCGCACTGCTACCTCAGTTAAATAACATCAACTATACTGCTACCTCAGTTAACTAACATCAACTATACTGCTACCTCAGTTAACTAACATTAACTATACTGCTACCTCAGTTAACTAACATTAACTCTCCGCACTGCTGCCTCAGTTAACTAACATCAACTCTCTGCACTGCTACCTCAGTTAACTAACATCAACTCTCCGCACTGCTACCTCAGTTAACTAACATTAACTCTCCGCACTGCTACCTCAGTTAACTAACATCAACTATACTGCTACCTCAGTTAACTAATATCAACTATACTGCTACCTCAGTTAACTAACATCAACTATACTGCTACCTCAGTTAACTAACATCAACTCTCTGCACTGCTACCTCAGTTAACTAACATTAACTCTCCGCACTGCTACCTCAGTTAACTAACATCAACTCTCCGCACTGCCACCTCAGTTAACTAACATCAACTCTCTGCACTGCTACCTCAGTTACGTAACCATGAGACTGTGCTATAAAGAGATAACTTACATCCAGTTTCTCCGGGTCAGCAACCTCTGGTTCCTGGAATAACCTTCTTGCCTCCTGACGAAGAAGATTACACAAAAATAGTCAAAATATCCACTGCTACTTTCTGCACAATAAATAGTCAAAATATCCACTGCTACTTTCTGCACAATAAATAGTCAAAATATCCACTGCTACTTTCTGCACAATAAATAGTCAAAATATCCACTGCTACTTTCTGCCTTACTACTGCTGCAATAAATGTTAGCATTATGTGAACACTGCAGTATTAGAATGAAAAATACAATTTAACATTGGTAACTATGGAAATGAGATGTCAGAGAAAAGCTCCAGGAGTGACCAGAAGAGGCGCACAATCAGGGATAGGTGAAACCAGCACAAAAAAGATGAACTTATACTGAAATGATCATACTACAGTATTTATACATTATGTAAACAAATGGAACTAAATATTAATAACATCAATAAATGGAGTATCCAATTACACTCTAAATAAGTAGCAGTCACATACTACAAATACACACCCCCCTCCTCCAACAATCAAGCAACAGTCATCCCTCTGTAGGTTGGGTCCGCAACCCTGATGGGGAGAACAGCTCCACCGCTTCTTAACATGCATGTCCTTAAAAGTGACTAATTAAGGCTTTGCTGAAATCAGATGCTTTGGCCTGAAAGGTGCAAATATCATAGCCTAGCTGTCAACTAGTATAAAACATGCCAACCGCCCTTGAAGAAGTGAATGCAGAAGAAGAAGCAACAGTCGGCAACTGCCACTTACCTTGTACATCCAGTCTTCTGGAATTGTGTATTTCTGGGGACAGATAACATAAATGTTTATCCTCGCTACTGTAACAACAATCATTCAGAGCACAGTTTGTAAGAAAACATGCCTGTGACTCAGACCAAAAAAAAAAAAAAAAACACTGACTAAAAATGAGCTTAACACCACGAGACTGCAACAGTTTTTCCTACTAATCCCAGAAACCCCATTCAACCTTACGGCCATACAACAGTTATACTGCAGCACCACAAAACACTTACAAAGTAACTTGCAGTCCAGTGTTGGTGGCTTGTTACAACAGTTGGGCCAAACAGAGTGAATGACAGATAACGGAGGAACTAGTTGTGTACACAACAGAGCAAAATGAGAATAGACAATCAGACCAAAGGACGACGGAGAGATGAACAGGCAGACCAGCAAACCCTTGGTGTCACCAACTGAAAAGAGAAGGCCAATCACAGAGAAGGATGGTCACTACACTCAGAGGAAAGGCAAGACGGACTTTTAACCAGATTGTAACCGGTACCATCAGTATTGGAACTCTGCGCTGACCACTGAAGATGAGGACAGAGCATACACGGGAATGCCCCGAGTGCTGTGATGTCAATTCTTGACTCAACTCAACTCAACACAGAGAAGGATGGAGGCGGATTATTTCTGCAGGAAGGAACCTCAAGGGCTTGGAATGCTAAAGATCCGCCACACCCATACACATAAAGAGGAGGAAAACCCAGCAATAGCATTCAAAAAGACAAATTTCAAATTTAAATATAATTATGAACATATCAGTTTAACTGCACACCTGGAATGTCATAAGCAAAGACAAATGTTGTTGACATTTCAAAGATATATTTCACTGACAAGCACACAGAAACAAACTGTCAAATATTTGGTTTTTTCCTGTTTGTTCACACACACACTTTAACATATACCAAAACTCAAGATGGCAAAAGACAAGAAAATCTGGTGTGTCCGTGTTGAGTGTTGAATTGAGAATCGACATAACAGCACTTGGAACAATTTCAAAAGTGCTCTGCCCCCCTTTTCAGCAGCAAGCGAAGAGTTTCAATTCCGATGGTACCAGTAACTCTGACTGTACATCCATCTTGCCCTTTCCCTTGAGTGCTGAGCATTGGCCGCATCCCCTGGTAACTTCTGGCAGCACCACTCTCCTCAGATTTTAATGATCCATCTGTGCCTCTGCACTGTTCACTCGCTCCCAAAGGGCCCGAGTGTGTCAATACAAAACTATCAAAACAAAATGAAGCAGCAACAAAATAAACTAATGCAGTTAATTACAGTGGTGGTATCCTTACCTTCTTGTCGAGATGTTTAATGATTTCATCAATATTTCTGTACTGTCGGATGAGCTCCATGGCTCGTTTGGGTCCAATGCCTTTGATGGAATCACAATAGTCACAGCCCAACAGGATGCAGAGATCAATGAACTGCCAGTGACAAGATGAAGAATATCACACAGAACTTTATATTAACACATCCACTACAAGAAAACACAATCAATTACGGTACATAAGATGAGCTTCCAACCTGAAAAAATCTTTCCAAAACCACAGGTAGACTAACATGGTGGGTGAGCTTCCAACCTGAGAAAATCTTTCTAAAACCACAGGTAGACTAACATGGTGGGTACAATGCATTTACATCATCGGATGAATGATTGAGATAAAAATCTTGAAGCAAACTTGTACACTTATGGTAAATATTCAAAAAATTCTCTAACAACATTACATAAACCTTGACCCCTTAGGGTTTTGGAGGTGTATCGATGAAAGAACTAGCACACAAAACCCACCATCTTTCTCTGTCTTCTGCTTGATGAATAAGTGTATGATAACTTTGTCCATTTCTTGATGATGTCATTCCAGGTTCTTTGCTCTCCTCTTCTTCGTCTACCCTCCAATATTACTCTAATAATGACACGTATATGTACAAACTACAACTGTAGGCTTGGAGTGTGACACTTCTAAAGAATGGGCACATTTCTTGGATGACCCCCAATCCCCCCGGGATAAGATAAGGAAGTACTAGAACAACTTCATGTGGCTGTGTGGCTTAAAGGTTTGTGAAACTGCTTTATAATGTGATACTCATCATTTACCAGGGTTCGATTCCCTTGGTGGAATGTTTAGAAAGAGACAGGTCTTAAGGCTTTCAAACAGGGGTTAAGAGAGTCGCACTGTGGAAGAGACTGGGGCTCTCTCCGTGTAATATTCCCATAGTCAGCTGTCGATACATGGCAGTCAACCTCTGTTGTGGACAAGAACAACTTCACATATAAAGGATGCAGCTGATATAAAATAAAAAGTCTGAAGGAAAAAGGAAACAAATGAACAGATGTTTGAGAAAATATAACAAAAACTGAAATTCAAAACAATGTTTTCCCATTGTAAATTTAAATAATGCTGACATAAACACTGCACCATTTATTGCCTGGAATATTTAGCTGTATCTTGTCAAGTGCATCACTACAGAGTGTATTACGTGTCCAGGAACAAGCAAATCAAAGAACTAGGTTGTCTCTTCTTGAAACAGGATCCATACTCCATTGTGCATACAGCCATTTAGGGATACCAACTGTCTCTCGGTTCGACTGATGTAAGTCAACTAGCGTTTATACGCAGATTGTAAAGTTAACAAGATACAGCAAAGTATACCAGGTAATAAACTCTGCAATGTATTGTTTGTGTCCACATGATTTAAAAACTGAAAAAAAAAAAAAAAAACGACAGTGTAACAAGACTTACCTCATCATGTGTGAGATTGAGTTCTTCAAGTATTTTGCCCAGGTTATATTCCTTGATCGGCATCTTTCTGGCAACAAAACAAAGAAAATATAAGTCGTAAAACCATGTATAAATGAAAAACGCACATGAAGGATACTGCTGAGGTCTATGTTGAGGTACATACTGAAGGGCGCGCGGCGCACTCTAGCAATGCCTAGTACGCTTGTGTGATGCTAAAAAAAAACTGTAAGATCTATATTGAGGCGAGACCCATTTTAGCAATGGCCAGTATGCTACATGATGGTCATTAAAAGAAATTTGTAAGGATTCTTTTTACATTAGTGACCGGTCATGAGACGCTAGATTTATATTTTATAAACCAATCGGCACCTGGCGAGTGACGTGGTCAACATCTTGCTGACCACCTTTATCTCCATGACATTCCCCGTTCTAAGCTGGGTTGTGTGATGGTAATGTGTTCAAATCTCCAAGGAACAAAAGGGTCTGTTCTAAAAGACTAAGATATTAAAGCCGGAACATTTCAGACAAATAAAGACCTCATGCACATGATTACCCATATCATCCATGGACAGCCAAATGGTCTATAAGACATATGGGGCGAGCTCTATCTACAGGAAACATGGGACAAGCACTACGATAACTAACTAGTCTATAAGACATGGGACAAGCAAAATGATAACCAACTAGTCTACAAGACATGGGACAAGCACTATGATAACCAACTAGTTTATAAGACATGGGACAAGCACTATGATAACCAACTAGTTTATAAGACATGGGACAAGCACTATGATAACCAACTAGTTTATAAGACATGGGAAAAGTACTATGATAACCAACTAGTTTATAAGACATGGGACAAGCACTATGATAACCAACTAGTTTATAAGACATGGGACAAGCACTATGATAACCAACTAGTTTATAAGACATGGGAAAAGTACTATGATAACCAACTAGTTTATAAGACATAGGAAAAGTACTATGATAATCAACTAGTTTATAAGACATGGGACAAGCACAATGATAACCAACTAGTTTGTAACACATGGGAAAAGTACTATCTAACCAATTTGCCAAAAGTTGCGGAAAAGGGTCCTTCACCTTGTTTGACAGTACTCGTCAGAAAAAAATTCATTTGACATGCAGTTTTATTAACAAACAAATATACTAAGCCTGATTTAGCTAATGCCGTACTGCTAAAAGCCCACGGAATAATGGTAAGACTAACAACCTCGACAGCTTAACGGTAAGGATGACAACCTAAGATAAATAAAAATAAGAGCATGTGATTCAAACCAAAGGTAAATACTAAAAATGCCCACAGGTACAAATAATATTTTACAGAAATATTTATAAAATAAAAGGGTAGGGGGTGTGGGGGGGGGGGGGGGGGGGGGGGAGGCTAGGAGACAAATGACAAAAATATACCAATAAAAACTAGCAATATTTTGCAATTTAAACAACTAACTTACAGGTTAAAGAAAACTTTGTTCTCTCAAAATGAACAAGAAACATGGTTTGTCAGACATGTTCGAGCAGGGAGCCTCGTGGCAGAAAAAATCCCCCTGGATCAACGGTGGCTAAAGATTTGTGCTACCTTTCTACCGCAGACAGGAAAGATGAGACAAACATCACCAACTTGTACCTGGCTTCACTGAAGGTGAGATGTCGGAGAACCACAGTCGAGCCAAATGTCAGAGAATCCATGTCTTCTGTGCCTGTGGCAAACACTTTCCCAGCTTTGACAAGTGCCGCGCACTGAGCCTCTGCTTCACAGGGAGCCTGAAGGCAGACATAAACCAAGATAAGATTTGTTATTTTGTCCACTCTATTTTTACTGTATTCATTCTACATTTACCGTGTCCACTCTAGATTAACTGCGTCCATTTTACAGATAAAAATCACATTACCACCAAAACCTACAATCAATGAAAATACAATAAATTCACAAACTTTGAATACCTTGGCTCCATAATTTATAATGATGTGGGTACCGTTATACAGAAGAGGCAAGACACATCAAATGTGGGTACCGTTATACAGAAGAGGCTAGACACATCAAAACAGAGATTAAGCAGTATTAAAAGGGAATGGAACAAGTCAACAAACTAAAGTAAACATTAGCAAAACATGCATAACTTCAACAGAAACACAATGATGTGGGTCACATACCATTTTGCAACCACTAAAACAGAAAACTGGGACTTTAGACTTGGATTATTTCCTCTCATCAACTGTGTTAAATGTATCTGGCATCTGATTGTGTGTGTAAGACAGAAAGGTTCCTAGCCTTGAGCTGCTCTATCAAAATAAATTTCTGGAATCTGCTGTCATCGTAATTCAGGCTACAGACAAACCAAATACGGTAACCGGGGCAACTAAAAACATTTCTGGTATCTGCTGTCATCGTAATTCAGGCTACAGACAAACCAAATACGGTAACCGGGGCAACTAAAAACATTTCTGGTATCTGCTGTCATCGTAATTCAGGCTACAGACAAACCAAATACGGTAACCGGGGCAACTAAAGACATTCTTCTTATACTCTGGGGTTGTCATTTCAAACGTATGTTCCCTTCGTGAAGAACATATTTTACGTCATTTTAAGTCTCTTCTGTGGGATCCCATAATGCATCAACAGTGTCCAAAGAGGTTACTCATCAATGCTTCAAAGAACTTCCAACAAATCCAACCTAAAGTTATTGGATTTGCTACACGAATAATTATCAATCCGGGAACAGAGATCACATAACAGTAAAAATAAAACTGATCAGTCATCCTGGCAACATAAACAGCATCAATATTTTGTACAACCACTCACTTCGACAAAAGGGATGCCCATCAACTGAAGTAACTGCTTACATTCGTTGTTATGTTCTTTTGTAACCTTCACGAGGCGTTTACTGAATTTGTCGACATTTTCGTTATCACCTGCACAATCAAAGACAAGAAAAACAGAACATGAACAAATATGCAGATACCTACTACTACTACCGCTCACATCCTAAACATCATGTTTAAGGATATTGTTTGTTGTGAATACTGCAGAATATAACAGCTGTTCAGGGAAGGATGAGAGAAGGCCAACAATTAAATTATGAGACTGACTTACATTGTCCTGCAAAAATTGCACTGCTGCTCGCACATCAAGTAACCCAACATTTGTTTAGCCAGAGAGAGGTGCATGGTTACATATGCAGCCGGGAGCAAAGGCCAAACATTAAATTATATTTTAAACTTGGAACAGTGCTAAAGAAACAGCTAAACTGATGACACAAGTTTATGGAAATTAATGTTTATCTCGTGCACATATATTCAGGTAGTATTCATGATTTTAAAAAAAAAACAATCGAAGACAGTGCATTTGTGCTGCAATAAGTAACATCTCAATAAACTTGCCATTTTGCATTAGCAGTAGAAGATAGATCATGCAAAAGTTTGTGACATGCACGGAACAATTCTAGATCAGCAGAACACTGAACTCACACACTGATGTCCAGAAATCCTGTAACAAACTGCAGAGGTCACAAACTACCTAACAGTCGATGGGAAATGTAAAAGGAAACTATATCATCTTTTCAAGAAAAGGTTTATGAGCAGACAACAAATCTGCAATGAATAAATGCCATGTGGAAGCTTTAGTCCAGTCTTTGGACCAGACAATTTCAATGACGCTGTAAGTGGAGTTTAAGCTTGTTGTTCCATTGAAGCTAAATCTAGTCACTCCCGGTCATAACACAGTTCTGACAATGTCAATTTACTCATTGATAGATGCCAAGAAGTCTCAGCATAAGCCACAATATCCATAGTTTTTTCTTATTTCAGGCATCGGGAATGTATTTCAATTAATGCTTTGATAGCTTCTTCTTCTGCCTTTCTATCCCCCAATGGAGCATAGGCCCTCAACCAACTCCCGCCAAGTCGTTCTATCCTTCGCCATTGCATGGAGCTCTCCCCATGTCCTCCCAATCTTTCTAACCTCATTCTCCAGCTCTCTTCTCCATGTGTTTTTTGGCCTTCCTTTATTCCTATGCCCCTGTGGGTTCCAATGCAAAGACATTCTAGTAATGCTGTTCTCCTGTTTTCTCAGTGTGTGCCCTATCCAACGCCAGCGTCTTTTCCTCACTTCCTGATCCACTGGAGCCTGTTTAGTTCTCTGCCAAAGTTCTACATTAGTTATTCTATCATACCATTTTATTCCCTCTATTCAGCGCAGGCACCAGTTAATGAATGTCTGTAATTTATTAGTAATTGCCTTGGTTGTTCTCCATGTTTCCGCCCCATACAATATACTGATTACCCCTTTCATATTTAAAAAAAAAGGAAAAAAACTGCAAATTTTTTTTCACAGTGACCTGTGCAATTTGGTTGAGTCTGATGATTTTTTTTGACCTATTTTGTTTGAAGCATTTATGGTTGGGGTTAACACAACTAGAACTGAGAAGACATAAAACTGTTTCATATCTGCCCAATGCAAATATCTAACCTGCTTCTTCAGCCTTTTCCAGCTCCTTCTGTGCTTCGTCTCTCTTCTCTTTACGTTTGGCCAACTTGGAAAAAACAGAAGAAACAATTAATACATAACACTGTGATGTCAGAATAACTACGGCATGACAAGACTCCAGAAGGCAAAAGAGGATGGGACGAAGAAACACACTCTTTTTCACACACACACAGACATGGATTCTCTCTTCTTTCTCTCTCACACACTTACATACATTTTCTCTTCTTTCTCTCTCACATACACAAAGACATGCACAGAGACACACATGCAGCCACACACAGACAACACATGCGAGAGAGAGAGAGAGAGAGAGAGAGAGAGAGAGAGAGAGAGAGAGAGAGAGAGAGAGAGAGAGAGAGAGAGAACTTGTTGCTGTGGCATTTTTTTAAAACAATTATAATTTAAATGTGTCTGTGAATTTATTTTTTTTTAAATAATTTTAATAAAATTATAATAATGATTATACATGAGGATGACAAGGCCAAGCAGTCAGCTACATTTCATTTTACTTCTGAGCCACTGATCATGCTGACTGAAATTCTGTTACTGATATTCCCTTGCCAATAAGTGTATGCATGTGAGGTTTGTCTTCTTTACAAAATACATCAACTATCTTATTTGGCTATGATACTAAAGCAATGGTTAGATTATCCTAACAGGTGTGCCTCCAAGAATGATGCCCGCCTGTCACATTTAAACATGTGATGCTGAATTCTATCCTTCTAGCTTGGATCTTATTCTGCTTATTTTGGTGGTCTATGCACTGATGATCTATGCACCGGTAGTCCAAGCACTGGCGGTCCATGCACGGGTAGTCCATGCATTGGCGGTCAATGCACTGGCGGTCAATGCTGGCAGTCAATGCACTGGCGGTCAATGCACTGGAGGTCAATGCACTGGAAGTCAATGCACTGGCTGTCAATGCACTGGGGGTCAATGCACTGGAAGTCAATGCACTGGTAGTCAATGCACTGGTAGTCCTTGCACTGGTAGTCAATGCACTGGAAGTCAATGCACTGGGGGTCAATGCACTGGGGGTCAATGCACTGGAAGTCAATGCACTGGTAGTCAATGCACTGGTAGTCAATGCACTGGTAGTCAATGCACTGGTAGTCCTTGCACTGGTAGTCAATGCACTGGTAGTCAATGCACTGGTAGTCAATGCACTGGTAGTCAATGCACTGGTAGTCAATGCACTGGTAGTCAATGCACTGGTAGTCAATGCACTGGTAGTCAGTCAATGCACTGGTAGTCAATGCACTGGTAGTCAATGCACTGGTAGTCAGTCAATGCACTGGTAGTCAATGCACTGGTAGTCAGTCAATGCACTGGTAGTCAATGCACTGGTAGTCAATGCACTGGTAGTCAATGCACTGGTAGTCCTTGCACTGGTGGTCAATGCACTGGTAGTCCATGCACTGGCGGTCAATGCACTGGCAGTTAATGCACTAGCAGTCCATGCACTGGTAGTCCATGCACTGGTAGTCCTTGCACTGTTAGTCATATCCATCCACAACCTTTTGTCTCATGTACTTCAATTATTTCTGACACACATGACTGAACTTAGACCTACCTCGCCAGATTTCATTTCTGGTGGCTTTCCATCAAAAACATAGACTGGTTTAATACCATTCTCCACCATTCTAATTGTACGATAGAACATCCCCATCAAGTGGCTGTAAACAAGAAGGAACACAATTTATTACATAAACCAAATTCAAGAAGGAACACAAATTATTACATCAAAGCTGTGCACTATCTAATTAATTCCTGGAGTCATTAGAAATTCAAGAACGAAGCCAACTTTGATCAGAATACGAGAAAGATCATAAATGACAATAATTAATTTGAATTGCATAAAATATCATCATTACCATTACATCTAATCTCTATGTTGGAGATCTGCTGCAATCACAATCAAACACGTTTTCTTCCTCGTGTATGCTTCCTTTCTCTTTACAAGTGAACACAGGTTATATTAGTTGAGCCTCATTAATATGGCTGAAGAACATTAACTGTCTGTCCTTGTTCTCGTGTTTCAGACGTTTACTTCAATCACAGATTTATAAACACATCTCTCAGTTTGTATTCTTCTGCTGCTTTGTGTTCCATGAATTCTTTTATAATGAAATACAGAGATGTGCACATGGGGAAAATATCTGCAAAGATACCAAAATATCTGACCATCCCAGTTAAGTGCGGCTTAAGGCAATGAAAAATAATATGTTGATCTCAAAAGCACCAACTGTTGAGAAAAGACAAAACAGTGCCATTGAAGGGAGATCCAATATTATTTCTAGAATGTTTCAAATTACTGAGGTACTGACAATAATAATGCAGCTTTTAACAGGGGCCATTTAACTGGTAGTAGGTTAAATCTGTCCCTGATGCTCGTGGATCACTGCCAATTGTACTGTTTTAAATATCTTTCTATGCTGGGGCTCCGACACTTGGTCAGCATTTTCAATATTTTGGCCCCAGAGTAAATGTAGCTGAACAGTCCTGTTCTAAGTTGAGCATCTTTTAATCAACACATCTCCAATAACCCACACTGCTGCAACTACACACTCCTCTTTGTGATTTAGCAGCTCAAGCCTGGCCCCAGCAAAGGAAGCGGAAGAAAAACTGGATGCTTGCAGCTGATCTTAATAACACCTATTTTAAAAAGTTGTGGATGATAAAATCTGTGAAAAGAAAATCAAGGAATAAAATTTGTTTTCCTGGCATGTAGAGACTAGTCCACTGAAACAACTTGATTTTTTTTTAAATGTTAAATTATTGGAATATAATATGGCATTTATAGAAGACAGAAATGGAAAGGTTAATGCAGTCAGATGCACGATAGTCTATGGCAGCAATTAGCATATAGCAGCTTTGTCAAAAATTTAGAAACACTGAGCACTGATTATGTACACTTTGAGTTCACCAAATCTGTTCAAGATAAAATGGCAGAGAAGAAAAGTAATAACAATAAAGTAATCATCAATACAAAAATTTAGCCCTGGAATTATGAGACCATGTAATGTCTTGATGGGGAAAAATGAATAAAGCAAATAAATGAAACAATACACAACCTTGTTGTCTCCCCATCCTCATTTGTGAGCTGGGACCCATCTTGCCTGACAGCAATCAGGAACTGGTAGATGCTCATGGAAGCATCAATCGCCACTTTTCTACCTGCCAATCAAATATTTATCTGGTGTTACAGTTCATGTATTCAAAGAAAGCAAACCAATCACACTGAATACTTATCTAACTCATCTATCCAATGAGATGTCTGGAAAAGGCAGCAGGAGAAGAGAAATCAAGAACAAAATCAGAACAAGTTTAGAACCAATTCTAAATTAAAACAGAGACAGCGAATAACATGGTCTGTCCACTTAGCGAGAATGCCTTGCAATGCCATAGTATACAAGATATACGCCAGAAAGGAAGAGAAATGTAGAGCAGCGGTAGATGAAGAACAAGACAGAAAAATAACATTAGAAAGACTCAACAGCATGATGTGTCTATGGTCTGCCTCAACAGCATGATGTGTCTATGGTCTGCCTCAACAGCATGATGTTTCTTTGGTTTGCCTCAACAGCATGATGTGTCTATGGTCTGCCTCAACAGCATGATGTGTCTATGGTCTGCCTCAACAGCATGATGTTTCTATGGTCTGCCTCAACAGCATGATGTGTCTATGGTTTCCCTCAACAGCATGATGTGTCTATGGTCTGCCTCAACAGCATGATGTGTATATGGTCTCCCTCAACAGCATGATGTGTCTATGGTCTGCCTCAGCAGCATGATGTGTCTATGGTCTGCCTCAACAGCTGAAGTTGTACAAGAGAAAGTGACGATGATGATCTCATTTATATGATATTCCAAAAAAACAGTCTTTATGTAAATAGGAATTTATGCCATTTAGATTAATGATTCCCCGTATAAGTTCCGGGGCCCCATGTGAAAAAAAAAAAAGAATAGACCCACTGCCTCCCCAACTATCATGTGGTAGGAGCTGACTAACTGGGGACTTCCTTCAAAGTGGAGTGCATCTGCACAAGCGGCAAGGAACAAGCAACTGCACATAAATAAACCAGTAAAACGAATGTACACAAAGCCAAAGTCTAAATGGATGAACAACCAGGACTTTCTCATGGAGCTTACAGCCGGTAAACAAAGAAGAAGAAAGACAAATGATGAAGAAGAAGATTTACACGGAATTCAGTCTGATGATGCATCTAAGTACAAGCTTAGACACACTGAACTGAAAAGTGTTGGGATCTATAAGGTTAAACATAAAAGACACACACACACAAAAACTCAGGGAGGAAATTTAAAGGTGAAAAAAATGGAAGTTAGTGAGGTAACAAAGAAATAATATTGATTAAAGATGCATACAGCGAGGAACGGACAGTGAGTAGAAAAAACTGAATTTGTAATTATCATGACTGATCACTGGCATAATGAGGGCTGACTGGCATAAAGCTGGAGCATATGATTTAGAGAAAATGGCAGAAGACAGAGAGGCAAAAACTGTGTATACAAGGGAGTTCAATGTTCGTAGATCACGAGGCAGACCAAGTAGATGGGGAAGAGATAACATCTAGGAAGACCCACAAACACTTCAAAGTCACCAACTGGAAATACAGGGCCAGTTACACTGATGAACAGAGGTGTGTAACATCTGCAGCAATGAGCCTTAGAGGCTCGGAACGCTGAAGAGGAAGAAAACTATGGACAACACTGACTGTTTTTCCCGTCTATGCTGTTACGTCAAGGTTTTTATATTCCTGCAATTCTGAAAGTTTGATCTTGGATGGATGCAACAGGGCAAATTCCAGACAATCCTTCAAAAAAGTTATAAACAGAGGGCCAGTAAAGTAATCTTCAGCATTTCGAGCCCTTGAGGTTCACTGCTGCAGATCTCACCCACTTCCATTCATCTTTGTGATTGGCCTTCTCTTTCTAGTTGGTGACTCCAAGGGCTTGCTGGTCTGCCTGGATATTCTTTCTATCATTTTGTTTTAGTCTGCTCTCACTGAACTCTTTTCTGTACACTGTTTTAATTTATGTCATTCGCTCCACATGTCCCAACCAACCCAGTCTATTAGTCCTGAACTTACAGCTACTACACCAAAAAACCCTGCTGACCTGAACATGAAGGAGGATAATCTTACAGAGAGGACATGGTTTTCACAGCATTTGTTAACAATGAGTAATGGAGTTGGTTGGCGACACACAATCATACATCATCAAAAAAGTTTGTTTTGTCACATAAAAAAAAAAAAAAACTCGCTGCAGAGGCAAATTTGAACAAGTAGGTCAAAAGTAGACAGTGAAATGATACAGGCTGAATGATAACTACAATATCAAGAGACAAATGACCAGCAGTCTCAGTTTCCAGCCAGGAAGAGGGACATTCTAAAGATAGCATCATAGTGACAGTGCACGTGATGCTAAATTATAACTTGTTGGAGATCATTCTGAAGTCACTCACTGAGTTATGAGTTAGGGTATCTTCACAGCACTCCGAACACATCCATAGGCGCTCAGATTCCCCTTTAAACATATTCATCAGCGTTATGCGGTTAATAGTGTCATTCCTATGTTGGTTAACAAGACTTCATTCAAGTGGGTTCGGTGTGCTTTTCATGCTTCTTCTTCTTCTTCACTTTCTCTTCTACCGCTGTGGGTGTCGAGGCAGATATAAGGTTCTGTTTCTAGCTCTTCTGGCCGCCTCGACCATAGGCACATCCTGCTGTTGTAGAGTTTCTCTGATGTTATCCTTCAATCTTGTTCTTGGTCTACCTCGTGCTCTACGTCCTTCTTCTCTTTCCATGTATGCTTTGTATGGTATGGTGTCACAAGGCATTCTCTCTAAGTGGGCAAACCATTTCACTTGCTGTCTTCGTATGTAATTTAGAATTGGTTCTGTGCCGACTTTTTCTCTTATGATCTCATTCCTGATCTTATCTCTTATGGTCACTCCTAGAGCCCTTCTCAGACATCTCATCTCCATGGTTACCAATTTTCTTTTATGGTTTGTTGTGAGTGACCATGTCTGGCACTGGTAGCACAGAGTTGGAATAAATATGCTTTGAATAAGATGTCTCTTTGTGCTGATTGGGATTGTCTTATGCTGTAAGAGGGGGGCTAGCTGTCCCAATACTTGGTTAGCTTTACTGCATCTAATGTTAATTTCTTTATCCAATTTTCCATCTTCGGTAAATGTAATTCCCAGATATTTAAACTCAGATGCCTGTTTAATGCCTTTGCACTCTATTGCTATGTTTAGATCTGTCTTCTTTTTTTCCTATTGACATTACTTCTGTCTTTTCCGGGTTAATTCTCATATTATTTGTTTTACATTCTTCATTCATGGATGTTAGATGTTGCAATTTCATGGCTGTATCTGCTATCAAGGCCTGGTCATCTGCAAAGAGTAATTTGTTGATCTTACTAACATTTTCATTCATGGGCTTGGCATTCTTGTATATACTGTCGATGAAGGTGATAAACAGCAGTGGTGATAAGACACACCCCTGTCTTACTCCACATGTTTTCTCATGCTTGGCTGTGCCAATCTTTACTCCCAATTCTCGTATTCTTAGCAGGGATGTGGACACGTTGCCTCCAAAATCCTCAGAATGTCCTATCTCTCTAAGGGCAATATCTGTGTGATCCATGGGCTGGCTTTCTTCAATTAATGCACCTGCCTGTCTATCAGCTCTTTAATTACCAACAACGCACAGCGAATATGAAAGTAACATCACACACAGGAGAGTTTTGGCTTTGCAATGACTCAAGCCACTGTCTGCATAACCAGCCTGCCATGACCCACTAGATCATGTTCAAAGGATCACTCAGCACACACACTGGAATACTGAAATAGTCCTGTGATTCTAGCCAAAGACCACTAACTTTGAAGATGGATAGTGACTGAGTGATAAGGGTGGCATAGCTGGGACTGACTCTCTTAGTCCGTGATACAGAATTATGTCATGTTGATTAATTCATGTGCTGACAAGTGAGAGTGTCACAATTCCTGGTCAAGACGCAATATGAGTCAAAAGCTGTCATAACTTTTCTCTGATCAGTGGAGTGGTTGCATGATTTCGCCATTCATTCAATACTCAATGATTGAGTCAATCGCAATAACCTCACTAGTGACACTAGCTCAGAACCCACTTACCAAAATAATTTTTAATTTCATTTTCTTTCATGGATGTCGGTGCATAATCCCCAAGAAGCTTCGTGAGTCCTTGAATTCCCATGTCTGAGAGATCACAGGAAAAAATGTGATCAAAGATTGAATAAACCCACAAGAATCTGGTCCCCGATTTTGGAGCAGGCAAATCTGAGGCCTTTAATTTCGCGGGAGGTTTTATGTGATTTAGTTTCGAATGCATCCATACTTGATCTTGATTATATAATTTAAATGATATAAGAGATAAACAGTTAAAAAATTGAAACATATCTTATTACAATTATAAAGTAAGGATATACATGATAATAAGAGAGTTTATTCGCCTCTTTTTATTTTCAAGAAATAATTTATCTGTCAGCGTGGCTCTGCAAGACGGTGTTATTTTAAAATGGCGACGCTCGTGGGTACAGGCATGATCAAAACAATTGAAGAAAATGACGAAGTTCAACCCAGTGAAGACAGTTCAGATTCTGGCGATGAAATGGTTTGTTTTAGGATATAAGAGGCAGGGGATTTAATGCAAAATCATTGAACTGGGTAACGTTTACAGATAAATGGATGGAAGGGCTGTGTACTCTGTGTTTTTATGTATAGTTATTATGGCTATCCTCCGAACTAAAGATGGCGGCCGCAAAATATCCTTTCGAGCCACAGTCACGTGACTTTATTTGCGGTTTTCCGGCGACTACCTCCAGGAGTCCCATACGCCGCTCACGTGGCGTGGATTGGGGCTAAACTAGATGGCTAGGACTCAGGAGCAAAGCTTCAGGAGATGCGGAAGCTGCTGCTCGTGTGTCCTAGCCATCAAGATTAGCCCCAATCCACGCCACGTGACCTGTGGCTTGAAAGGATATTTTGCGGCCGCCATCTTGCCCGAAGTTCGGAGGATAGCCATTATTATAATTTAATAAATGGCTATTCTCTGAATAACGGTCCTAAATTATTGAGGCAGAAAATATACCCTAACAGGGCCTCAGTCATGTGTCACTTGCGCACTTCCGTTGTCTTAAATTGCGCACTTTTGACGACTTCCACCACCGCAGAGAGTATCCCCCACACTGCTCACGCAGCGTTGTTTGGGGCTAAACTAGATGGCTTGGACTCACGAGCAGCAGCTACCGCATCTCCTGCAGCTTCCTTCATTTTATTTGCTTGTGAGTCTAGTTTAGCCCCACGCTACGTGAGCAGTGTGGGAGATACTCTCGGCTGTGGTGGTATAGTCCCTGGAAGATCACAATTCGGGAGTGGCGGTATAGTCCCTGGAAGTGCGCAATTGACGTGTGACTGGGGCTCTGTTAGGGTATATTTTCTGCCTCAATAATTTAGGACCGTTATTCGGAAGATAGCCTGACTTAATTGTATGCAGATTGTTAGTTCTTGGCACTCATGCAGATGACAAGATGCACTACTCGGACTTCGCAAGAAGCCACCAGTTAGTCGACTCTTACAACAGGCTTGTTGGGGAGGCAGTGAGTCTTTTCACGTTTTCTCGCAGTGGGACCCCAGAACCCATGTAGGGATTTGTATTTCCAAATCGGAGGATAGTAGTAGGGATCATCCCTGGGATGCTAGTGAAGTTTTGGCTACCCTTCGAATAACGGACACATATTATTGTGGCCAAAAACACACTCTGGCAACTAGGATTACTGTCTGTTGACAATTTCGAGAAGCGGAACAATACACACGATAATAGCTACATTGCAGGGAGACCACGGTCTCCGATGCAGGTTAGCGATATTGTTCTTTTGATTAAACTCACCCCTGAGCGTAACCCCCGCCCCACTATGCGCGAAGCGTAAAAATTGTATTGCATCTAATTTGTTTTTAAACAGAAAGGGATGCAAACACCATTCTGACTTCTGAAAAGGGCTGTAGGAGTGACCATAAGAGATAATATCAGGAATGAGATCATAAGAGAAAAAGTCGGCACAGAACCAATTCTAAATTACATACGAAGACAGCAGGTGAAATGGTTTGCCCACTTAGAGAGAATGCCTTGTGAAACCATACCATACAAAGCATACATGGAAAGAGAAGAAGGACGTAGAGCACGAGGTAGACCAAGAACAAGATTGAAGGATAACATCAGAGAAACTACAACAGCACGATGTGCCTATGGTCGTTATTCCTAGTTTTTCATACAGATTCGGTTTTTCCAGCAAACAGAACAAAATTAGAGTGTCTATAGGAGGCGCCAGTATACTGGTCAATAGTCTGATCGGGATAAATTCAGACACCATTTAACTGGCGGTTAGTCGGTCCACAAAGAGTTAAAATGTTTTAAATCAGATCACATTATAAAATAACATCCTAAATTAATTTTTTTTTTTTTATTATAGCAATTAAATGTGTACATCCTGCAACAAAATTAATGTAATGATTTATTTATTATAAATTAGAAGTGGGTCAAACATCCGTCTGGAGCGGACAGGTTGGATTGCAGATCTGAAGTAAGACAACATGGTCACTAAAATCTTGTTTTTAACACTTGCTGAAATCTGTTCCTTGCGATTGTAACTGATTCAGAAAGCATGCTGAGGAAGATCAGAACAGGTATGCTTCGTGCAGAGTGGCATGCTTCGCTGCGGAGGACACGAGTGAGGAGTATTGTCTGGATTTTTTCACCGGGTCACGCCGGTGTTTTGGGAAAGGAACAGGCAGACAGACTGGCTGGCTCTGCACAACTTGGTGGACTACTGCTACATGATAGGGCAGACGTGGTTAGTGCCTTGTGGGAGAGCGTGTACAATGCGGAGGAGCAGATGGATTACCACAGTTTGGTGAGATTGATGCAGTTGGGGGTGACGAGAGGTTCTGGCAGAAGCCCAGGGCTCAGGAAAGGCAAGACGGACATTTAATCAGAAAGCTACTGGCACCATTAGTATCGGAACTCTTCGCTGGCTGCTGAAGATGGAGACGGAGCGCTTATGGGGATGCCCCGGGTGCTGTGATGTCAGTTCTTGAATCAAATCAAATCATGTTCCTTGCGAATCTGCTTCCAGATTTATGTAAAAATTATTGCAGAATAAAAAAATCTTCTTATTGTCAGAGATATTGAGAAACTTTCACATACCATCCGGCAAATTATCAACTTACGAAATCAAGTAGGAAATTTGACTTTAATTTTAAAATGAGAATTCAGCCTAAAAATATACAACTTACGTCTGCTCATATGTCTGGTTTTGACTTATTGTACCCTCAGTTAGATAACTCAATTTTACAAAGAAACTGACTTCATTTAGTGGTCTTTGAATAGATTTAATTAGTTATATAGTACGTAGAATCATTAATAAGCAATTCTTTAGATGCAAGTTCTAGTACAAGTCTTGCATACCTCACTGGTTTCTAAGCTTGGAGAGAACTCTGCAACACAGTCCCTGTGCAAGTGGCGCTTTGGTACCGCTTGGTTAGCCTGGCTGATAGATGCAAGTCTTTCTCGGCTGGGGTAACAGAACCAACTCTTCATACTTAAAGATTACAATCCTAGAGGCGTAACCAACCAATGCTAGGGCAGTTCTGATGACCTTTTACCTTATGTGTGCCCATTATAAACTTCAGTTTACAATTTGCTGTATTGCAGGTGTCCAAACACAAAAGGAAACAGAACAGAAATAAAACATTTTTCAACAGCAGCTTCAGCTTTGATGCAGCTAATACTGTAAGTATTTATAGAATATTCTATCTGTTGCAAGAAAGTATTGACGTTGTTAATTTCATGCAGCTCACACTATTTCTGGTAATCCTAGTTTCAGCTTCATAGCAAACGGGTCACCCCATCTTTGCTCCGCTCCTGTGCCAACGAAAAACACACAGAATGTTTATCACAGTCCCTTGTGGAAAGATTGACAGACTGCTGTCTCAGCATATCTAGCATACACACGCATTAAAGCATTACGGTAGCCATCCGAAGTGCTAACACAAACAGTCCGACATTAGAAATGCAGTTCATCATGGATCATAGCAGAAGTCACCAACAGATCAGCAGTTGCCCACACGATCAATTTTAATCATATACGGGCACCACCAATATTGCGACGACAGGAATCACGCCACTTTCTGAATCTACGATTCACACCGCCACGTTGGTCACAGTCGAAAAAAACATTCCAAATGTAATCTGCAGCTCACAGTGTTACGCCATGCATTCAGCTCAGAAGCTATGTGACGAAACTATATCCAGTCTACAAATGGAGCAAAAATGCATCGGCCACTGTCCAACAGAAGCAAAAATGTGTGCCTTGACTCCAAACAGTACCCCTGCCTAGCGTCCATTTTGACCGGGAGTATTTATTGAATATTCTATAAGGTGTCAGAAAGTTTGGATGTTTTTAATTTCATGCAGCTTACACTATGTCGGGGTCTGTGGCGCACGCGCTTCATAATACCGGGATGTCGGGTTCGGTCCCAGCTGCAGGCCTTGCGTTGGTTTGGACAGTGGTATCAAGAAGCTGGCAGTCCAGAAAGCAATGGCAAACTACTAGCCGTCAACTTACCTAGAAAAACCTCAACAGCCAATGCTGGTGTTGGTTCTGCAACATCCTGTAAAGGATACGCAACTAACATGCATACACTATCTATAGAATATTTTACCAGATGTAGGAAAGTATTGGTGTTGTTAATTTCCATGTATTCGGCACTTTCGCAACGTAAACAGGGAGGAGGGATGGCGTCTTTGAGTCTCAGGATTTAGGGCTGGTTCAGATTTAATTCTTGGCTGATTTTTGTGGTGTCTTTCAATGCACGTTATTTATTTATCTGTTTTGTTATTGTTATTGCAGGTGACCACATTTAGTCCGTGGAACATGAAAGCAAAAGGAATGTCAAAGATCTCTTCGCTGGATGACAAAATTTCCAAAGTCAGGCTGCAGAAATTGGTATGTGTTTTCTGCATGATTTTATTATTGTGCCATGTAAAGGCAAAACAGTCATATTATTCTGTCTAGGTTTAAATTGCTGAGTATTTCACATACATGATTTTGTGCGCCTGTGGCTTAAACCATTGAATACAGACTTTGTAATGGTGAGGTGCTGGGTTAGATGTAGGCTCTCAACACTTTAGAATGCCATCACGGTTACTTCAGGATGTCCTGTCTGATGTAAATATTTTTTCCCTATTTGTTCTGGGATCCCCTTCCCCAGCCTGTTATCCTAAAGGGCTGTTAAAATGGATGCTCATATGAAGCTCAAGTTCTGGAATGAGACCTCAGACCAGAAGTGGACGAGCAACTAGAACTTTCTGCCAGCGTTATTAGCCAGTAAACATTGAGGGGGGAGGCCAACGTTGGACATGTGAACATAACATTTGCTCTTTAAGGTGCTTTTTATAAATATTCATTTTAAAATGTACACTCCACTATAAAATGCATTTGATATTTGGTTTGGTTTACAGAAACAAAAGAACGGTAAAGAGGACAATGAAGAGGATATGATTGTGGATGAGGAGGAGTCTTCGGACGAGGAAAACATGACAGCAGGTCAGAGAACATGCTTCTTTCTTAACTACTTCCTCGGTTATTTATTACAGTATTTTTTCCGCTTAGAATAGGAAGGGCTAAAAAAAAGAGTAAAGGACCCTTTTCCACGCCATCAGGGACAAAGGGCTAGACCTATATTTTTTATAGACCAATCAGCACAAGATGGGTGATGTGGTCAGCATCACGCCGGCTGCCTTTACTTTCCCAGGACTGCACCCGGTACCCACTCAAGGCTGGGTCGACCTGGGAGCCAAGGTCATTTAAAAAAAAAAGTCTGGCTCAGGGGGAGCAGACCCACAACCTTGTGATCTGCGACGAGTGTCTAGGTGCTTGGCCACGGCGACTCCCATAAGAAGGACTGATCAATGAAAATTCACACCAATGTGACATCCTAATATATACAGATGTGCCGGTGGTGAGAGATCAGAAGAGTGGGTGGGGTTTTATTGCAATGGTGAATGGACACTGCTTGAAAACAGAGCCTTGCCTACAGTGTCATTACATCCAGTATGAGAATAGAGGTGGAGGCAGTAACGGTAGCTTTCTGATGGCTTGAGAACAGCACAGCCAGACATGGTGTCATTGTAACAGGCTCACAGAGCGTCACTTGGTAAGACCCAGATCAAGAGATAATGGATTTTCCTGTGTCCAGGAAATTCAGGTGTGTGAAGTAAGGAGCAGGCTGATAGATTAGCTGTTGCTGCTAGTCTGGGCGAATGTGGTGAAGGCTTTATGATATAAAATGGACAGTACAAAAGAACAGATATCAAATCCATACACTGAAAGACTAATTCAACGAGAAGTAAATAAGGATTCTGGGAGATATTCAACACTAAAGGGGGAAGAGAGGTGGATTAGGATGCACACTGTACTATTAGACGTCAATTCTTCCTTGGTTACAGTAGAAGGGATACGGGGCATGTGTGGGAATGTCGCTAGTGCAGTCGTGCCAATTCTTGATTGATTCATTCCCTTAAAGATATATACATTGGGAATGTTTTCTGTGTTGTCAGTAGTAGGTGACCTGTTGTGTTTTGGGTTGTTTGGGACCTGAAGTGGGTGTTTAGTGCCGTAGGTGCCAGATTTATCTGCAAAAAGAAGTAACAATTGGCTTATCAGAAATGTCTGGGCAGTTCATATTTGGCTCTCTATGCTGAATTATGATTTGATAGTATTCTGATAAAATGTATTGACATATTTAAGAATGAAGTAGAAATAAATCAGTTTCTAGCTGTTCTTTGCCATATTGTTGATAATTGGATTTCCCTCTGAAATTTAGAAAGTGAAGTTAGGTTGCATGTACCTGAAGTTTTCACATACGCATATATTTTCTTTAAATATGTGTGTGTGTATATATATGTATATATATATATAAAATTTCTTTTAACTAAACATTGTTCATCTTTTGACATTCAGACACTGTGAAGACCAAAGAGAAAAAGAAAAAAGGCAAAAAACAAGGTGAAGAGGAAGAGGTATGCTTTAAAAAAAGGAATATTTTTGTTAAAACTAGCTCACTTCACATTTTAACATTGTGTATATTGTCCTTTTGGGGGGGGGGGGCTATGAATGTTTCCGCACTCTTTTTATTATTATGACCCTCAGCATGTAGTTAGAAATTGTTGATTTGATCATCATATAAGTGAAGCCTGGCCAACTGCCCTTAGTCTTGTTTGTGCCTTCATCCCCAGTGGAGGATATGCCCTCCAAGCTCTCCTAACTTCTTCTTCTTCTTCTTCTCTTCCACCTTGTACCTCATCGAAGTGTCGGGGGGAGATGTAATGTTCGTTGATGAGCTCTGTCAAGAGCACTTTTAAGACTGATGTTCATTTCTGTAAGGCTGTTCTTAATGCCATCACTCCATATTTTCCGAGGTCTTCCACTCGCTTTATACCCGTTGTAACGTTTTAGTGTGGCTCGCTGTGGCAGATAGTACCAGGGCATTCTTGTTAGGTGTCCAAACCATTTCATTTGTTGTTCTTTGATGACCTGTAAGACTGGCTTTATTCCTAGCATTCGTCTGATTTCATGATTTTGTATTCTGTCTTTCCTTGAAACTCCTGCAGCTCTTCTAAGGCATTTCATCTCTGTTGTCACAATTTTACGTTCATTGGAGGATGTAAGTGTCCACGTTTGGCACTGATAGCATAGTATTGGCCAAAAAATAGTTCTGATAAGATTCACTTTAGTACTCTGAGGTATCTGCTTGTGTGTCAACAGGGGAGATAGTTGACCCATTACTTGATTAGCTTTGGCACATCTGGAGCTAATTTCTCTGTCCAGTTTTCCGTCTGAAGTAAAAATTGCTCCCAAAAACTTAAATTCCTCTGTCTCAGGGTGTTGTTTTTCCTAACTTCTCCTAACTTCTACATTTTCTAAATGCTAAAGGAAGAAATGGAGGATAACATGCAAGGGAAAAATGGTGGCTCAAAATGGTCATAAAACAAAATAAACGTACAGGGGAGATGATGGATGAGCGACTGGTTTATGTTGAGTTTACATTCACATTGTCAGAATGTCATTGGCATTTATTTCCCATTTTCTGTAAGTCTGAATATGAACTGGGAAAATTTAAGGATGTGTTCTTTTAATTTCAGCAGGTTAAAGTGCAGTTCTCCGAAAGTGTGGATTCGTACGACGATAAAATCACATTTCAAGATATGAACTTGTCTCGACCTTTGCTCAAAGTAATTGACAACTATCTGTGGTAACTTGTATCTTGTTCTGCTTTTATTATGTGCGTTCTGTAGATCTGTCTTGTTTCTTGTTGTCTTAGCTTTAATTTGTGTTTTGGTAAACATCTCAAACAAATTGCCTTTTTCCTTCATTTTTTGTTAAGCATTATTTTGAATGTTTACAGTTCACATCTGTATGAATTGTTTCAGTTCCCAGTATTTTGTTTTTTACTCTGCAGAATCTAAAAACAAGAAGCACTGGTTATGTAATTGTGTTTGGTTTTTTAATGTCTTTTCCAGGATCAGTAGCCAAGGTAGTACTAACATTCTTGTCAAGCACTGAGTGATGATTCTTTTGACTTCCACAGATTTCCTTGTCTTTTATATTCTGTTATTACTCTAAGCCTTTTGTGATATGTTCTGGGTTTGCCAAGGATGGCTATCAGACACACAGTTGCACAGGTCAAGGTGTACAAAAACAGCCCACTTATCTTAAAAATGAAAATTCATTCAATAACACGTGCTGCAAATTATTTAAACTGTAATTCAGTTTGTGTATAAATCTACTTGATTACAATGGTGAGCTCTGACTGGCCACGCCAACCTCACAAAAATGGAACTGCCAGTTTGAGATTGATAGCCTTACTGCTGCAGCCCGGCCGTGGCTGTACATACTGGCTAGTGGATAATGATGTATCTCTGAAACTACAACGATTGCATGACATGGGAGTAAAGCATAGTGAAGCACATCTATGCTGCCTTCGAGGTCGAGATATGAAACATAACCAATCTGTCCTGAGAACAATTAGTAGAAGTACCTTGGAGTGGCTGCTGCATGGAAGGATTGAGCACACCTGGGTATGCCCAGTGTACAGTGACGTCAATTGTGATAACATGACATAACATTCTATTGTGACATCTCTGAGTGATCTGCAATCTTTATCTACATTGCTGCCTAAATAGAAAAACAGCTTGAAAAATGAGGTTTTATTGAGGAGGATTGTGTTATTGTATGTTTGATTCTCATTAGCTTTGTTTTCTCTTAATATTTATAGACTTTATTTTTATGATGTCCCATCAAATGTTTATTATTTATTAGAATTCCTGGCCTCTAGAATTAAACTGTTACAGTTTATTGCTTGCATTCTAATGGTGCAGTAAATCAGTGGAAGATTCCAGAAGTAATTATGTTAATGAATGTGACATTTGTTGCTGAATTGTTATTGCTTTTATAAGTTTTAGTCTTTTCAGCAACGTTGATGTTGAGGGATGGGAGAAAAGTAGTTTTACTTCATTTCTGTTAACTCTGTGCCATCTGAATACAGGGCCTATCATCCATGAACTTTGTGAAACCAACTCCAATCCAGGCTGCTTGTATTCCCATAGCCTTGCTTGGCCGAGATATCTGCGCTTGTGCCGTCACCGGGTCTGGTGAGTTCTTCATTCTTCATGGAATACTCTTGTGTGTGTCTGAGAGAGAGAATAGGCATGTTTTTTTTTTCTGGAGCCTAAGAGAGAATCTGTGGCATCAGCTTTCATAAGATTTTTTCTAATATTGTTGTAGGTTTGAAATATTTAGAGATGTTCCTCTAGTGTTAGAAACTTGCAGGCAGAAAGGTTCTTTCTAATATTGTTGTAGGTTTGAAATATTTAGAGATGTTCCTCCAGTGTTAGAAACTTGCAGGCAGAAAGGTTCTTTCTAATATTGTTGTAGGTTTGAAATATTTAGAGATGTTCCTCTAGTGTAGAAACTTGCAGGCAGAAAGGTTCTTTCTAAAATTGTTGTAGGTTTGAAATATTTAGAGATGTTCCTCCAGTGTTAGAAACTTGCAGGCAGAAAGGTTCTTTCTAATATTGTTGTAGGTTTGAAATATTTAGAGATGTTCCTCTAGTGTAGAAACTTGCAGGCAGAAAGGTTCTTTCTAAAATTGTTGTAGGTTTGAAATATTTAGAGATGTTCCTCTAGTGTTAGAAACTTGCAGGCAGAAAGGTTCTTTCTAATATTGTTGTAGGTTTGAAATATTTAGAGATGTTCCTCCAGTGTTAGAAACTTGCAGGCAGAAAGGTTCCTTTTTATGGCATCAGCTTTCTGATTGGTAGAAAATAATTGATGCATATTTGAACCAATTGATTTAGTGGACTCTTGTTTGTGAACTGGTTGGTCATCTAGCAGGCAGATCTGGCTTTAATCAGACTTTATTGACCTATGGTTTGTGAATGAGCTGATAAGTGATTTCACACAAAAAAATTAGTATTAATCCCCTGCAACTTTGTGTCCACTGTCTCGGATCCTCTGCCAGTTTGGTTCAGACCCGTAATGGCCATGTAACCGGTACTTAAAGGGCACATAATGGAACAGTTTTGAGTGATGTACCCTAGTATTGGTGCAGTGCATGCTGCCACCCAGGATGGTACACAGTACAGAGCTTTACATTTGCCATGTCTGTGACTGAATACACCACTCCACCTTCATACACCACTCCACCTTCATACACCACTCCACTTTCAAAAACCACTCCACCTTCATACACTACTCCACCTTCATACACCACTCCACCTTCATACACCACTCCACCTTCATACACCACTTCACCATCATATACCACTCCACCTTCATACACCACTCCACCTTCATTCATAATCAAAACACACAACTTTATGCTAGTAGCATTGACCATTTGGAAGAATCTTGAAACAATTGAAGTGACTATAAAGCATCGCAAACAACTTTACACAGTTACATTGAGACCCTAGTCTGCAACATAGAAATGTTCTTTTAAACAGCTTACAACATTTTGTTAATTCATTTGTCATTTTCTGATGTGTGTTTCTGGTTGCTGTGCAGGTAAGACTGTAGCTTTCATGCTGCCAATTTTGGAACGTCTGCTGTATCGACCAAAAGCCACGGCAACTACCCGAGTCCTTGTGCTTGTTCCAACCAGAGAACTGGCCGTCCAGGTGCACACAGTGGCCAGGCAACTGGCACAACATGCCAGCGTGGATATTTGTCTAGCAGCAGGTGTGTTTCACTTTTTCATATTACAATTTTAGGTAGAGAGAGCTTAGTTTGTCCAGAAGAAAATGACCTCTTGCAATGTGATAAAAGACACGATGTAAGTTGTTGCTGGGATGTGTAAAATTCTTTGAGTTTATCTTCTTCTGCGGTCACCTTGCCCTTCAGTGAACGATTGGCACATTGTGTTGTGATTTACAGCTAGGCTGTTCATCCACTTGTGGACTTTGGCCTTGTTTTAAAACTTGAGTTTGAATGCACATCTATGTTTTTTTTTACCAAGTGGCACCCGGGGTTTGTGAGCGATGGTCAGGTGACTAACTTGATTGTTACTTCCCCTAGTAAACAAGTGTGCCAGAGTTCAGAGCCAGTGAGAGAGCGCACATTAGTATTCATGAACTGGGGTATTAGAAGGACTGACTCCACATGAAGCATGGAAAGCAAGTTTTGCTCAGAAATCTCCAGCAGAAGAACTGTGGATACTGCGGGGGGGGGGGGGGGGGGGGGGGGGGGGGGGTTGAAAGGTGTTTGCAGACTTCCAGAAAGGATCTTGTGAACATTGTGGAAAACGCAGTGGCAGTTATTTTAATCAGTTACATGCTTTTGGTCTTTAGCTATGAACAGACATGTGGTAGTCTGACTGGTCCTCCATGTCTGGACTGTGGTTCCTTCTGGGGCCTGAATGTTGTCTGCATATCTATTTTACAATATGGCTTTTTTGTGTACAGACTGTTAGTTTCTTGTCACTCGGGCAGATGGAGTCCTCACTTTGAAGAAAACACTGGTCTTATCTAGTTGCTCAGGAACCTTTTTGTAGGTTGACCACATACATGTGTAGGAGGTTGACCAGTGTGAGTTTTGTTCCTGATTCCCTGCCACATGCAGTGATGCACCTGTGTATCCCTGCCACATGCAGTGATGCACCTGTGTACCCCTGCCACATGCGGTGATGCACCCGTGTGTCCTTGCCACATGCAGTGATGCACCTGTGTATCCCTGCCACATGCAGTGATGCACCTGTATCCCTGCCACATGTGATGATGCACCTGTATCCCTGCCACATGTGGTGATGCACCTGTATATCCCTGCCACATGTGGTGATGCACCTGTGTATCCCTGCCACATGTAGTGATGCACCTGTATATCCCTGCCACATGTGGTGATGCACCTGTGTGTCCCTGCCACATTTAGTGATGCACCTGTATATCCCTGCCACATGTGGTGATGCACCTGTGTATCCCTGCCACATGTAGTGATGCACCTGTATATCCCTGCCACATGTAGTGATGCACCTGTATATCCCTGCCACATGTGGTGATGCACCTGTGTATCCCTGCCACATGTGGTGATGCACCTGTGTATCCCTGCCACATGTGATGATGCACCTGTATCCCTGCCACATGTGATGATGCACCTGTATCCCTGCCACATGTAGTGATGCACCTGTATCCCTGCCACATGTAGTGATGCACCTGTATATCCCTGCCACATGTGGTGATGCACCTGTGTCCCTGCCACATGTGGTGATGCACCTGTGTCCCTGCCACATGCGGTGATGCACCTGTGTCCCTGCCACGTGCGGTGATGCACCTGTGTATCCCTGCCACATGTGGTGATGCACCTGTGTACCCTGCCACATGTGGTGATGCACCTGTGTATCCCTGCCACATGTGGTGATGCACCTGTGTGTCCCTGCCACATGTGGTGATGCACCTGTGTATCCATGGCTCCATTATAATTAAGATAAATGTACAAATTGTAGTTTTGACTGGGTACCAGATGCAGTCCTGGGAAGTAAAGGCGGTCATGTGATGTTGACCATATCACCCACCAAGTGTCTGTAGGGTCTATAAAACATAGGTCCAGCCCTATGTGCTTAATGCGCCTGAATGTGGAAAATGGTCCTTTATTTTGCTTTCCTTATATATTGTGGTAAATGTGTGAAAGTGGGCTGGGAAACTGCAAGAGAACAAACCAACAATTAGTGCTAGATGTTGCATACTACCAGGACTTAGGAAGGAAGCAAACAAAAGCGAGACTATCAACTACCATGCATGGTATCAGAGCAACTCTTGGTTGATTTGATCCTGGCTACCTCATTCCTTAGCTGCAAAAGCCAGCTCTCATCGTGAATAAGTAATAAATTTTGCATCAACTACATGACAGCCTGTACTCCATTGAGAGATTTGAAGACAAACAACTGATAGTGGTGTGGGTGGTGTTCCGTATACAAAATATTGTGCTTCCTGTCTGTCTCCAGGTGGCCTTGACATTAAGTCACAAGAGGCTATGCTGCGTATGGCGCCAGATATTGTCATAGCAACTCCTGGTCGATTGATTGATCATCTGCGCAACAGTGCTAACTTTACACTCAGTAACATTGAAATTTTAGTTCTTGACGAGGCCGACAGGTGAGTCCCTTAAATACTTGTATTGTTCAAGATAAGGAAGCGGAATTATTGTATACTTAATGTTTTGACACTTCATATTTGCTTCAGATCTCATGTTTGGCTGTTTGATTTCTTTTATTCCTCACGTTTGGTTACATTGCTTGTACAATTTATTGCCTGTCAGTTATGCAGCCTATTTGTGTCTTCGTTGTTAAAGTACACAACAGGGAAATATACCTTTACATTATTTGTCCAGTATTCCTCTCTATTGTTACAACCGACTGACTGGATTTGTTCTTATAATTTTTGCCTTTTCCTAATACATGTTTAGACCTGATACAGCCACCAGTATACACAATAAAAACCTGGTTTGTCCCTGTAGTTTTTTAACCAGACTTGACATATTGTTAAGTTCTCATGTTGTTGAATTACCACACAGGATGTTGGATGAATTCTTTGCCGAGCAGATGAATGAAATCATCCGAATGTGTGCACGCCAGCGGCAGACGATGTTATTTTCTGCTACCATGACAGAAACGGTGAGAAGACAAATTTGCTGTGGTTTATTTGTTCTTGTTGAACTTTTGAGATAGAAAATGTGGTAATGACCATTTCGCACGTGTAGCTGCTCCAGGTTTGATCTTCATTTGAAAAAAATAATAAACAATTAGCGGTCTAGTTTTGCGCTCTTAAGTCAGTCTTGTAAATTATGCAGTGAATATTTATTTATTGCAGAAAAAAATACTGCCATGAAAGATAGCTGTCCATCTAACCTAATCATTCTCAACTTAGTATATGTTAAGACTTGTCATTTCGCATCATTGCTGAAACATCTGTGTCTTGTCTTCTTTTACTCCGTGCTAAATTCCATGGTTTCACTTGTTTATAAAGCTCCTTCTGTGTCTGTCTTGAACTCTTTCTTAAGTTAGCTCTCGTCGGCGAGTGTTGTTTACCTGTCATCATCATCATAATGTGCTGTAGCTGGTGGTACAGATGATGACATGCATCACTCTTCTGTGACCTTTATAAGTTGAGCTATGATTATAGTTACTTCCACTTGACCTGATGACCTCGGTCTCTACTTCTTGGCTGTCACAACCTTTCTGAGGCCTAATCATCTCATAACGTAACAAGCAAATGATCATTACCTTGTCCTGGTGGCGTAGTGGCTAGCTGACTTACTGCTGGCTGTGTGTTCAGATCCCTAGAAAAGCAGAGTTTTTTTTTTTAAAGAGTTTCCTGGTTGACCTAGCCTGAAATGGGTTCCTGGACATATTCCTGGAAGTAAAAGTGGCTTGGTTGATGTTCATCCACACATGTAACATGATTTCATGAATCTGTCATCAGGTGCAAGAACTTGTTGCTGTCTCGCTGAAGGATCCAGTGAAGGTGTTTGTGAATGAGAGCACTGACATCGCCCTGGGCCTGAGGCAGGAGTTCATCCGGATCCGGCCCAACAGGGAGGGAGACAGGGAGGCTATTGTTGCCGGTCAGTCATAGAAGTCAGCTTGAATAGTTGTCCTTGTGGCTTGTCAGGCAGTGAGGTTTGTCTGACTTGTTGTGTTGACCTGCGGGCATGAGAGAGATGATCACATGTGGCAGTCTCTCTACAGAGTGGCTAGCTGCCTGCCGAGAACGTCACACAAACCACAAACTTTGTAGCTCTAGCGATGATTACTGGGAATATTTGTGAAAATTGCCCTCATGACGCCATGACGGATTGTAAAAAATTATAGCAGAAGGCATGGTACCAGGAAGGAGGGACAGGGGCCGGCCGACACAAAGATGGGCACAGGATATAAGCGACTCCTTGAGTATGAAAGTACATGAGGCGGGAGAACTGATGAGAGACCGAGTTTCTTTCAGGCAGACTGATAAGAGCGACGTTCTGCAAAGGACTTGCTACATGATGATGATGATGATGATGCATCTATGTCACCAATCCACAACCTTCAGAACACTGGGTGGACAGCTTAACCACTTTGCTATGGAGACCCCCCCCCCCCCCCCCCCTCTTCCCCCAAGACATAAGGAAACCCTGGTAGTGTAGTGGCTAATGAAGTTAGGTACTGGCCCAGAGGCCTTGGGTCAAAATCTTTCATGAAGTTTGCCCGCATAGTTTTGGGGTCTGGTTAAGTGGGTCATAGAAATGTTCTCAGACATAAAACAGCTGATGTGATGCTCCCCACTTGATTCTTCAGCAGGTGTCATTTGGTCAGGTGATGTTTCCCACTTGATCCTTCAGCAGGTGTCATTTGGTCAGGAGATGTTTCCCACTTGATCCTTCAGCAGGTGTCATTTGGTCAGGAGATGTTTCCCACTTGATCCTTCAGCAGGTGTCATTTGGCCAGGAGATGTTCCCCTCTTGATCCTTCAGCAGGTGTCATTTGGTCAGATGTTCCCCACTTGATCCTTCAGCAGGTGTCATTTGGTCAGGAGATGTTCCCCACTTGATCCTTCAGCAGGTGTCTTTTGGCCAGGAGATGTTCCCCACTTGATCCTTCAGCAGGTGTCATTTGGTCAGGAGATGTTTCCCACTTGATCCTTCAGCAGGTGTCATTTGGTCAGGAGATGTTTCCCACTTGATCCTTCAGCAGGTGTCATTTGGCCAGGAGATGTTCCCCACTTGATCCTTCAGCAGGTGTCATTTGGTCAGATGTTCCCCACTTGATCCTTCAGCAGGTGTCATTTGGTCAGGAGATGTTCCCCACTTGATCCTTCAGCAGGTGTCTTTTGACCAGGAGATGTTCCCCACTTGATCCTTCAGCAGGTGTCATTTGGCCAGGAGATGTTCCCCACTTGATCCTTCAGCAGGTGTCATTTGGTCAGGAGATGTTCCCCACTTGATCCTTCAGCAGGTGTCATTTGGTCAGGAGATGTTCCCCACTTGATCCTTCAGCAGGTGTCATTTGGTCAGGAGATGTTCGGACAAGTAACATAAGTAGTTGAGTACAGACTTCACAGCACTCAGGACATTTCCACATGTGCTCCATCCCTGTCTTCAGCAGCCAGCACAGAGTTCACATTCCAGTGAAACCAATAGCAGTTTGATTTCCATTCTCTGTAGACCATAATGGTTTATTTTTAACCTTCTATTGTATGGCCTTGACCTCAGCTTGCTTGTCATGCATTACTTCACCATCTAGTGGTGCAGCAGCCACTCTGTCTGTCTATTAGTTTCCCAGCACACTGTGCCTCGGAGAAAAGGTTTGAGGGATGCTAACAACCTGGGATAGTTGAAGTGATGCCTGCCACTAAGCACAGGATGTGCCTTTTGCCACCTCAGCATGATTTGTGGGTCTGTTACAGTCACATTATGTCTGCATTGTGTGGCTTATATACACTATAAAGTTTGTATCAAATTTTACTTTCTATATACTTCCCCATTAAAGTAGCTTCTAATGTAGCCCAAAGATTTGAGTTTGGTCTTTGATCCGCTGCAGCTCTGGTGTCCCGTCACTTCTGTGACCGGTGTATCGTCTTCATACAGACCAAAGTACAAGCTCATCGTATGCATGTCCTGCTGGGTCTGCTGGGCATCAACGTCGGGGAACTGCACAGCAACTTGTCACAGGCTCAGGTAGGTACTGATCGGCACCTTTCCGTCTTTCCAGACGATTAGCTTGTATTGCGCTTTGATAAGGCATGGAACTTAGCCCATGGCGATGGCGAGTGTGACTAGTGAAACCCGCCTGCAGGCTGCGGAAGCTGTCTAATCAGAAGAGCATGTGGTATATCTGTCCCCCTGTGGGATCTTCTTTCCTAGACCAGCCTCCAGCCAAGTCTAGGGCCCTGGTCTGCCCTGCCATAAGAAAATGTTTTCAGTTTGCATTTCCTCTTCCTAGGATAAGGCTAGTATCCTTCCCAATGCTCTCCTCCGTCAAAAACCGTTGGGACAATTTGGGATGTTGGGTTTGTATACACCGCCCAACATTCAGTGTAACAGAAGACAGGTGGTACCATCTACTGTTAAACAGTAGCTCAGTTTTATCTGACCAAGACCTGACCTAAAGGTAGATAGTAATAATGCTGAAATGAGGTAAAAACCAGTTCTGTGTTAACAAGTAATGAAGAATGGACATCCTACCCTCTGGACAAACCAGTAGGTGCTCAGTTTCTACCAGCAGGTGTTATTTTGCACAGTCTGATTGTTTCCATGATACACTAGTGATCTTTATCTTTGCATTCACCAGTTGTAAACTCTGACAGAAAGTTCTGGCTGTTTGTCGGCTCCTGGACTTTACTCTTGTTCTAGAACTTGAGTTTTACCTGCACATCTTCTTGACAGATCTGACTTGTTTGTATGCAGACTGTTAGTTCCTCACCTCACTGGCAGATGCGCTCTGACTTCGAAGGGAACGCTGGTAGTAAATGCATTAGGTCCCCAGGCATCCTGATTGTTTTTTTGTTACATTGTTTAAAGTTTTCAGTTGTTTATAGATTGCCTCTTTATAATCCTGCATCTGCAGCAAGTTGCCTTGTAGACATGTTTGTGTTCATTTAAGATGCTGTTAAAACTGAAATGGTTTGTATGACCACCTGGCAACAGTGATGAGCCACATGTAAGATGCTGTTAAAACTGAAATGGTTTGTATGACCACCTGGCAACAGTGATGAGCCACATGTAAGATGCTGTTAAAACTGAAATGGTTTGTATGACCACCTGGCAACAGTGATGAGCCACATGTAAGATGCTGTTAAAACTGAAATGGTTTGTATGACCACCTGGCAACAGTGATGAACCACATGTAAGATGCTGTTAAAACTGAAATGGTTTGTATGACCACCTGGCAACATTGATGAACCACATGTAAGATGCTGTTGAAACTGAAATGGTTTGTTTGACCACCTGGCAACAGTGATGTCATAGACCCATTGATAGTGAGTGCATACACAGCATGAACATGGAAACCTCCAGAGGCAGGGGAGGACCTAGTAGAAGATGGCTGAGAGATGTCACAGACAGCTGGCAACATACCAAACAACCAGGTTCTTCTTGGCTTGGCTGTCTATCATCTGTCAAACTGCAAGCAAATATTGTGAAAAGAAAGAAGTTTCTGCTGTGGCTGCACTATCAGTTTGAACAAATTACCAACAGATTATTTCTAGTCTTTGTTGGAGGAACCTCCTTGTGTTATCTAAACATGCTGTCCTCAAGTCAGGCATTGCGTATCCTTTACAGGAAGTTGCAGAGCCGACCGTAGCGTTTTTGGCTGTTGTGGTTTTTTTTAGACAAATTTAATGTTTAGGCCTTGCTATTGCCTTCTAAACAGTTAGCTCTACCTGCCACTGTTAAAACCAACAGAAGACAATGCTCGCCGCTGGAATCAAACCTGGCATAATGAAATGCATTCGCAACACCGAAGCCATAGAGGCAGACAAAGTGCTCAAGTCAAGCGAGCTGGCCAACAAATACTTCACAATTTATGGTAAACACTAGGACAGACAACTTCCTGAAAAAGAAAGGGAAATATTGCAGATAACTAGTAATGGACACTTACAGTTGCTCATGTTTTGTTTTTGATTCTGACATTGCAGCGTTTGGACACTTACTGTTGCTCATGTTTTGTTTTTGATTCTGACATTGCAGCGTTTGGACACTTACAGTTGCTCATGTTTTGTTGTTAATTCTGACATTGCAGCGTTTGGGCACTTACTGTTGCTCATGTTTTGTTTTTGATTCTGACATTGCAGCGTTTGGACACTTACAGTTGCTCATGTTTTGTTTTTGATTCTGACATTGCAGCGTTTGGACACTTACAGTTGCTCATGTTTTGTTTTTGATTCTGACATTGCAGCGTTTGACACTTACAGTTGCTCATGTTTTGTTGTTGATTCTGACATTGCAGCGTTTGGGCACTTACAGTTGCTCATGTTTTGTTGTTGATTCTGACATTGCAGCGTTTGGGCACTTACAGTTGCTCATGTTTTGTTGTTGATTCTGACATTGCAGTGTTTGGGCACTTACTGTTGCTCATGTTTTGTTTTTGATTCTGACATTGCAGCGTTTGGACACTTACAGTTGCTCATGTTTTGTTTTTGATTCTGACATTGCAGCGTTTGGACACTTACAGTTGCTCATGTTTTGTTTTTGATTCTGACATTGCAGCGTTTGGACACTTACAGTTGCTCATGTTTTGTTGTTGATTCTGACATTGCAGCGTTTGGGCACTTACAGTTGCTCATGTTTTGTTGTTGATTCTGACATTGCAGCGTTTGGACACTTACAGTTGCTCATGTTTTGTTGTTGATTCTGACATTGCAGCGTTTGGACACTTACAGTTGCTCATGTTTTGTTGTTGATTCTGACATTGCAGCGTTTGGACACTTACAGTTGCTCATGTTTTGTTTTTGATTCTGACATTGCAGCGTTTGGACACTTACAGTTGCTCATGTTTTGTTGTTGATTCTGACATTGCAGCGTTTGGACACTTACAGTTGCTCATGTTTTGTTTTTGATTCTGACATTGCAGCGTTTGGACACTTACAGTTGCTCATGTTTTGTTTTTGATTCTGACATTGCAGCGTTTGGACACTTACAGTTGCTCATGTTTTGTTGTTGATTCTGACATTGCAGCGTTTGGGCACTTACAGTTGCTCATGTTTTGTTGTTGATTCTGACATTGCAGCGTTTGGGCACTTACAGTTGCTCATGTTTTGTTGTTGATTCTGACATTGCAGCGTTTGGACACCCTGAAGAAGTTTAAAGAAGGTCTTGTTGATGTCATGCTGGCTACAGACTTGGCATCTCGAGGTCTGGATATAGAGAATGTGAAAACTGTAAGTATGAGCGTCGTGGACTCATGAAGTTTGTCTTCTTTATGGTGGTGGCGGCTTGTGGCCATATTATATCTACAGACTTGATGAAATTCTGTATCCTTTCAAAGTCATTCTGAGAACTCTGAAACATTGGCTAAGCACTCACAGAGGCTTTTGTAGCTGTTTTTTCATGTGTTTTCACAGTCTTATGTAAATGTTATTTTACGAGTTCACAAAGGATTATGTAGATGTTATTTTATGTGTATGTTAACAAGGACCTGTGTAAATATTTCCTGAGTGTTTTTGCAAAGGCTTTTGTAGATATTATTTCCCGTGTTTCCCCATGTGGGTTTCGGAATTACATTATGGGGAAGACAAGAATGGACCCATTGCCTCTCCAACAAGCATGTCATAAGAATCGACTAATTGGGAACTTTCTTCAAAGTCCGAGTGCGTCTGTCTGAGAGGGGAGGAATCAGCGATCTGTATACAGATAAGTCAGGTCTGTAAAATGGCTGTGTGTGCATACAAAACTCACCTTCTGGAACAAGACTAAAGTCAAGAGGTGAACAAACATCCAGAACTTTCTGCTGGAATTTACAGCCTGTGAAGAAGATTTCCTGTGTTTTCACAAGGGCTTTTGTGTAGGTTTTGTGAGAGTTTTTACAAACCTTTTGTTTACTGTGAGTATTCACCAGGGCTTTATGTAGACATTGTGGCTGTTTGCTGTCATGATTAGCCGAGACGTATGCTGATATTGTTGCGACTTTCTACAGGTCATCAACTTTACCATGCCTAGCACGATCAAGCATTACATCCACCGTGTGGGCAGAACTGCCAGAGCGGGCAAGAGTGGACGGTAAGTTCTCTCTCCTGTTGGTACTTCTATTTTTGTCATTTCAGCCATTTTTAAGCAGTTTTTTCCCATCTTTCTTCCTCTTCTTTCTTTGCATTTACCATCTGTAAACCCACCCAAGAATTTTCATCATTCAACCTACATTGGAAAACAGGCCCTGAAACAGTTCACGCCTAGAAATTCCTAGAATTGCTCATAGTTAGTTGAATTTTTGTGTGTGGAGTAGCCAGTCTCCTGCCAAACCTCCATTTTTACCTCTTATGACATGTCTTACTCTTCTTTGCTTCCTTGGCCCAGTAACACAGTGGCAGATGAATATGTTCACAGGAGATCTTGAGATAGTTGTTAGCAAATTTTTTCTTGTATGAGAACATTTCCAGAATATTTAAAGTTGAAAACTGGGATTGGTCTAAGAAATGCATTTTGTTTAAAATATTTGTTTCTTACTTTTGGACTTTAAAAAACAGGAGGCATGGAAAATATTTTATTTACTGAGGTAAAATTCTCATTTCATGGAAACAGATACATTGATATTTGTTACACTTTGTAGATGATGAATATTATAATTATTTGCAAGAATGTATGATATGTGTAATTGACGTATTTCTGATCTCCTTCACAGATCAGTGACTCTTGTTGGAGAACTGGAGAGGAAAGTGCTCAAGGATGTAGTCAAACAAGCCAAGACTCCACTCAAGACACGGATAGTTCCACAAGGTCAGAGTCTGTGTTTATCTTGTATTTTGTCTGAGATTCCTGTCTTTCCATTGTAATCTGTCTGAGATTTCTGTCTTGTCATTGTAATCTGTCTGAGATTTCTGTCTTGTCATTGTAATCTGTCTGAGATTTCTGTCTTGTCATTGTAATCTGTCTGAGATTCCTATTTTTACACTGTATTCTGTCTGAGATTCCTGTCTTCCCACTGTATTCTGTCTGAGATTCCTATTTTTACACTGTATTCTGTCTGAGATTCCTGTCTTCCCACTGTATTCTGTCTGATTCCATCTGCAGCCAGCAACTATGAATGAAGTGGTTTTTCTAGGGGAAAGACGGGTGATGCAGTCTTATGAGCAAGATTTAATGGCAGTGACCAAAATGTTAGCTTCACTACGTTGATCAGAACTATCACAATCGCTGAAATGGTTTGCTAACTTCCTGTTCACATTTTTTATTGTGCAGATGTTGGCCTTAGATTGCCAGATTGATAAATAAATATTTCCCTAAAAGCTACCATGACAGGTTTTCGCCTCTCTAACTTTTATCTTGGGTGATGCAATAACCATATTTTTCTATCTATAAGACTGTTTTCCCAAATTTTTAGTTTACAATTAGGAATGTACGTAAAATATTTCTAAATTGTGGGCTTAAAAAAATATATTTGTCTTATAATTACATGAAACAAATTATTTGTTTGGGTTTACGGCTAAGGTTGTGGGGGCCTTTGTGACATGCTTGAGGAGAAAACGCAGGCAGAGCTTTTCGTGCTGTTCTTATTGATAAAACTTTCCCTCCTGCAGATGTGGTCAGCAGGTTTAAGGAGAAGATAAATGACATTGAGGAAGACATTAAACAGATTATGATCCAGGAGAAAGAGGAGAGTCACCTCAGATCGGTGGAGAACAAGATGAACAAGGCCCACAACTTGCTGGACAAGACCCAGGATGAGAGCCAGCAGCGAACCTGGTTCCAGACCACCAAAGAAAGGAAGGCAGAGAAAGGTTTGAACCTCATTTTGTTTTAACCTTGCATCTCTTTCCTTTATTACATACATTTTTAAACACAATTTGGGAACTTTCTGTTTTCTTCCAGGTTTGTTTTTAAAATTGATATATCATCAGATTATTTGTTTCAGTTTTCTTATTGCATATTCTTATACTGAATTGTTGCATCTGTTTATTCTGCACTTAATTGGCTCTCTTATGAAAATATTTCCATTAATATTCATCTGTTTAAATCCCCATTTATCACCGGCATCATAAAGGCTAATAGACTAAAATGGCTGAGGCATATTGAGAGAATGTCAGATGCTAGAGAGGTAAAATTTGTGTACATAAGACACTTTAATAGTCATAGACAATGAGGCAGACACCAAGAAGGCAATGGAGAGATAATATCCAGACTACCAAACACTTGGTGTCACCACCTGGAAAGAGAGAGTCAATCACAATTTATAAGAGAAACTCCATGTGTAATACTGTGGCCGTGTTTTGAGAGCACCACATCTCGAGGTTTTCCAGCTCTTGTCATCTCTGTAACTGCTATACAGAAGCAAACATTTTGAGAGCACCACATCTCGAGGTTTTCCAGCTCTTGTCATCTCTGTAACTGCTATACAGAAGCAAACATTTTGAGAGCACCACATCTCGAGGTTTTCCAGCTCTTGTCATCTCTGTAACTGCTATACAGAAGCAAACATTTTGAGAGCACCACATCTCGAGGTTTTCCAGCTCTTGTCATCTCTGTAACTGCTATACAGAAGCAAACATTTTGAGAGCACCACATCTCGAGGTTTTCCAGCTCTTGTCATCTCTGTAACTGCTATACAGAAGCAAACATTTTGAGGCAGTTGTAAATAAATGAGAGTAGAGCAGGCACCTGGTCAGGTCCATACAAGGGCAAGTTTGTGGCTCTTGCGCGCACACACACACACACAAATATACATACATACATATATATATATATATCTTTGGCAGTGTGTAACAGGGTGCATGGGTGGTGTTGTCCTTCTGCACCTGTGGTCAGAAACTAGCACCCGTGGAGACAGAAACACTAAATTCACTTAACTTGGAGGGGGGGTGGGGGTGCACGTGCAGAAACAGTGTTTTGAATGAAGCTTTTATGAGCATAACAACCCAACTAGAAGAAGCTCCCACATAGTTATTCATGTGACTTCCTCATTAATGGTTTCGTCTAGGGTTCTTCTTGTTGTTAGTCAACTGTTCAGTGAATTTATTCTTTGACTGAGATAGCAGTGTAAAGTTCAATCTGGCACAAGTGTCTTGTGTTTGTTAGTTTTATGTGGTGTGGATGACCATATTGAATCTTGGTCGGCAACTGCTGCGACAGCTCAGGGGCAAAATGCTTGAATTAGTAATTTTGTTATTTTATTACACTGAAAAGATGTTAATTTTGTTTAAACTTCTGGTCCCAGCCATGTTACGATTGTCAAACAAGCTGGATTCAAAGGAAGAGAAGAAAAAGACCAGAAAAAAAATAACGGTAAGATGTAAAGATGATTTCATGTTGATCAGTTTTGCAACCATTCACACTGCAGCTTATCAGCTTACACAGCACATTACAGTGAGCAAATGTCATCAGAAACTATAGTAGACACAGAAGTCCACTGAAGTAAATCATGCAAAAGAAGCAAAGTACCCATCAGTAGAGGTCATCCAAATCCCAGGTCTGCTGGCTGCCTACTGCTGGCTTCTAAAAACATAGCCTGTGATGAACGAGATGTTCAGTTTATGAAAGTGGGGTTACACGGTTATGAGCAGGATGTGACAGTTTAATGAGTGAGCCCAGGACCAGAGAACTATGTACTGGTACTCCATTTATGCAAGCCCCCTTGGATGGCAGGAAATGCTCGTGTTCTGCCCCTGCCTTCTCTTGAGAGCTCATCAGCATCACGTGGCTTCTCTGGACTGGCCTGGTGTGGGGCTCCATCTGTGACCTGGGAAAATATGACCACACAGTAATGAGACTGCAATGTTCCACCGGGTCAACAAATGCCTGCAGCAGTCACATATGTCGGCTGAAAGGAGCAAATATTGCAGCCATGCTGTAAACGGGTACAACTCAATCACATCTTCGGATGAATGCAGAAGAAGAAAGATGAGCACACAGAGGAAGGATCCGTCCAATTTCTAGTGAGTATCTACAGGAGATTTTCATGCCCTTTTGTGTTTTTGGCATAAGATGCTAGACTCATGTTTTATAGTCCATCCAGCGTGTCTTTGATGATGTGATTGCTGTTACACCGGCACTTTTACTTTTGCATGACTCCCCGTGTTGGTTGCTCGACCCTATTAGAGTTTACAGCCAGTGAATGTGCTCATTTTCAGTTGGGTTGACCTGTGAGCGAAGGTCGGTTTGGATGAAAAAAAAATGCCTTGATGTGGATTTTAATATTAGGCTAGCAGATAAGCATCTAGCCACTACACTTCTGGAGCTCTCAGCCTCGACTTTAGCCATCTTGTCATTCCAAGGAGAGTGGGTGTCACCATATTTGAGATAATATTGACCTTCCCTGGTGCTTGTCAGTGTTCTGAAGTAGGCAGCAATATTTCCTCATCTGTTCTGGTTCCATATTGGCTGTATGTTCACTAGGCCGAGGACTGTGTTCTGGTACCATATTGTCTGTATGTTCACTAGGCCGAGGACCGTGTTCTTATACCATATTGTCTGTATGTTCACTAGGCCGAGGACTGTGTTCTGGTACCATATTGTCTGTATGTTCACTAGGCCGAGGACTGTGTTCTGGTACCATACTGTCTGTATGTTTACTAGGCCGAAGACTGTGTTCTGGTACCATATTGTCTGTATGTTCACTAGGCCGAAGACTGTGTTCTGGTACCATATTGTCTGTATGTTCACTAGGCAGAGGACTGTGTTCTGGTACCATATTTGTTGTATGTTCACTAGGCCGAGGACTGTGTTCTGGTACCATATTTGTTGTATGTTCACTAGGCCGAAGACTGTGTTCTGGTACCATATTGTCTGTATGTTCACTAGGCCGAAGACTGTGTTCTGGTACCATATTTGTTGTATGTTCACTAGGCAGAAGACTGTGTTCTGGTACCATATTTGTTGTATGTTCACTAGGCCGAGGACTGTGTTCTGGTACCATATTTGTTGTATGTTCACTAGGCCGGGGACTGTGTTCTGGTACCATATTTGTTGTATGTCCACTAGGCCGAAGACTGTGTTCTGGTACCATATTTGTTGTATGTTCACTAGGCCAAGGACTGTGTTCTGGTACCATATTGTCTGTATGTTCACTAGGCCGAAGACTGTGTTCTGGTACCATATTTGTTGTATGTTCACTAGGCCGAAGACTGTGTTCTGGTACCATATTTGTTGTATGTTCACTAGGCCAAGGACTGTGTTCTGGTACCATATTTGTTGTATGTTCACTAGGCCGAAGACCGTGTTCTGGTACCATATTTGTTGTATGTTTACTAGGCCGAGGACCGTGTTCTGGTACCATATTTGTTGTATGTTCACTAGGCCGAAGACCATGTTCTGGTACCATATTTGTTGTATGTTCACTAGGCCGAGGACTGTGTTCTGGTACCATATTGTCTGTATGTTCACTAGACCGAAGACCGTGTTCTGGTACCATATTGTCTGTATGTTCACTAGGCCGAAGACCGTGTTCTGATACCATATTGTCTGTATGTTCACTAGGCCGAAGACCGTGTTCTGGTACCATATTGTCTGTATGTTCACTAGGCCGAAGACCGTGTTCTGGTACCATATTGTCTGTATGTTCACTAGGCCGAAGACCGTGTTCTGGTACCATATTGTCTGTATGTTCACTAGGCCGAAGACCGTGTTCTGGTACCATATTTGTTGTAAGTTCACTAGGCAGAGGACTGTGTTCTGGTACCATATTTGTTGTATGTTCACTAGGCCGAGGACTGTGTTCTGGTACCATATTTGTTGTATGTTCACTAGGCCGAGGACTGTGTTCTGGTACCATATTTGTTGTATGTTCACTAGGCCGAGGACTGTGTTCTGGTACCATATTTGTTGTATGTTCACTAGGCAGAAGACCGTGTTCTGGTACCATATTTGTTGTATGTTCACTAGGCCGAGGACTGTGTTCTGGTACCATATTTGTTGTATGTTCACTAGGCCGAGGACTGTGTTCTGGTACCATATTTGTTGTATGTTCACTAGGCCGAAGACTGTGTTCTGGTACCATATTTGTTGTATGTTCACTAGGCCGAAGACCGTGTTCTGGTACCATATTGTCTGTATGTTCACTAGGCCAAGGACTGTGTTCTGGTACCATATTTGTTGTATGTTCACTAGGCCAAGGACTGTGTTCTGGTACCATATTTGTTGTATGTTCACTAGGCCAAGGACTGTGTTCTGGTACCATATTTGTTGTATGTTCACTAGGCCGGGGACTGTGTTCTGGTACCATATTTGTTGTATGTTCACTAGGCCAAGGACTGTGTTCTGGTACCATATTGTCTGTATGTTCACTAGGCAGAAGACTGTGTTCTGGTACCATATTTGTTGTATGTTCACTAGGCCAAGGACTGTGTTCTGGTACCATATTGTCTGTATGTTCACTAGGCAGAAGACTGTGTTCTGGTACCATATTTGTTGTATGTTCACTAGGCCAAGGACTGTGTTCTGGTACCATATTGTCTGTATGTTCACTAGGCAGAGGACTGTTCTGGTACCATATTTGTTGTATGTTCACTAGGCCAAGGACTGTGTTCTGGTACCATATTGTCTGTATGTTCACTAGGCAGAGGACTGTGTTCTGGTACCATATTTGTTGTATGTTCACTAGGCCGAAGACCGTGTTCTGGTACCATATTTGTTGTATGTTCACTAGGCCGAGGACTGTGTTCTGGTACCATATTTGTTGTATGTTCACTAGGCCGAGGACTGTGTTCTGGTACCATATTTGCTGTATGTTCACTAGGCCGCGGACTGTGTTCTGGTACCATATTTGTTGTATGTTCACTAAGCAGAGGACTGTGTTCTGGTTCCATATTTGTTGTATGTTCACTAAGCAGAGGACTGTGTTCTGGTACCATATTTGTTGTATGTTCACTAGGCAGAAGACTGTGTTCTGGTACCATATTTGTTGTATTTTTACTAGGCCGAAGACCGTGTCAAGTTTGAGCTGACCAAGGCTCAACTGATGGGTATTCGTGCCGTGAAGAAGTCATTGAAAGCCAAGCCTTTGGGTGCTTTCTCAGAGGAAGTCAGAAATGGTATGTCTGTTTCATTGTCTCCTGTTATTCATTGCAGCGATCTTTGTCTGTTCCTCGTATTTTGTTACTGCATTTTGTGTACCTTGCTTTTGTTTTGTTTAATTCCTGTTTACTGTACCTTGCTACTGCCTTGTTTAATTCCTGTTTACTGTACCTTGCTACTGCCTTGTTTAATTCCTGTTTACTGTACCTTGCTACTGCCTTGTTTAATTCCTGTTTACTGTACCTTGCTACTGCCTTGTTTAATTCCTGTTTACTCTACCTTGCTACTGCCTTGTTTAATTCCTGTTTACTGTACCTTGCTACTGCCTAGTTTAATTCCGGTTTACTGTACCTTGCTACTACTGCCTTGTTTAATTCCTGTTTACTGTACCTTGCTACTGCCTTGTTTAATTCCTGTTTACTGTACCTTGCTACTGCCTTGTTTAATTCCTGTTTACTGTACTTTGCTACTGCCTTGTTTAATTCCTGTTTACTGTACCTTGCTACTGCCTTGTTTAATTCCTGTTTACTGTACCTTGCTACTGCCTTGTTTAATTCCTGTTTACTCTACCTTGCTACTGCCTTGTTTAATTCCTGTTTACTCTACCTTGCTACTGCCTTGTTTAATTCCTGTTTACTCTACCTTGCTACTGCCCTGTTTAATTCCTGTTTACTGTACCTTGCTACTGCCTTGTTTAATTCCTGTTTACTGTACCTTGCTACTGCCTTGTTTACTGTACATTGCTACTGCCTTGTTTAATTCCTGTTTACTCTACCTTGCTACTGCCTTGTTTAATTCCTGTTTACTGTACCTTGCTACTGCCTTGTTTAATTCCTGTTTACTCTACCTTGCTACTGCCTTGTTTAATTCCTGTTTACTGTACCTTGCTACTGCCTTGTTTAATTCCTGTTTACTCTACCTTGCTACTGCCTTGTTTAATTCCTGTTTACTCTACCTTGCTACTGCCTTGTTTAATTCCTGTTTACTGTACCTTGCTACTGCCTTGTTTAATTCCTGTTTACTCTACCTTGCTACTGCCTTGTTTAATTCCTGTTTACTCTACCTTGCTACTGCCTTGTTTAATTCCTGTTTACTCTACCTTGCTACTGCCTTGTTTAATTCCTGTTTACTCTACCTTGCTACTGCCTTGTTTAATTCCTGTTTACTGTACCTTGCTACTGCCTTGTTTACTGTACCTTGCTACTGCCTTGTTTAATTCCTGTTTACTCTACCTTGCTACTGCCTTGTTTAATTCCTGTTTACTGTACCTTGCTACTGCCTTGTTTACTGTACCTTGCTACTTCCTTGTTTAATTCCTGTTTACTCTACCTTGCTACTGCCTTGTTTAATTCCTGTTTACTCTACCTTGCTACTGCCTTGTTTAATTCCTGTTTACTCTACCTTGCTACTGCCTTGTTTAATTCCTGTTTACTGTACCTTGCTACTGCCTTGTTTACTGTACCTTGCTACTGCCTTGTTTAATTCCTGTTTACTCTACCTTGCTACTGCCTTGTTTAATTCCTGTTTACTGTACCTTGCTACTGCCTTGTTTAATTCCTGTTTACTCTACCTTGCTACTGCCTTGTTTAATTCCTGTTTACTCTACCTTGCTACTGCCTTGTTTAATTCCTGTTTACTGTACCTTGCTACTGCCTTGTTTAATTCCTGTTTACTCTACCTTGCTACTGCCTTGTTTAATTCCTGTTTACTCTACCTTGCTACTGCCCTGTTTAATTCCTGTTTACTGTACCTTGCTACTGCCTTGTTTAATTCCTGTTTACTGTACCTTGCTACTGCCTTGTTTACTGTACCTTGCTACTGCCTTGTTTAATTCCTGTTTACTCTACCTTGCTACTGCCTTGTTTAATTCCTGTTTACTGTACCTTGCTACTGCCTTGTTTAATTCCTGTTTACTCTACCTTGCTACTGCCTTGTTTAATTCCTGTTTACTGTACCTTGCTACTGCCTTGTTTAATTCCTGTTTACTGTACCTTGCTACTGCCTTGTTTAATTCCTGTTTACTGTACCTTGCTACTGCCTTGTTTAATTCCTGTTTACTCTACCTTGCTACTGCCTTGTTTAATTCCTGTTTACTCTACCTTGCTACTGCCTTGTTTAATTCCTGTTTACTCTACCTTGCTACTGCCTTGTTTAATTCCTGTTTACTCTACCTTGCTACTGCCTTGTTTAATTCCTGTTTACTCTACCTTGCTACTGCCTTGTTTAATTCCTGTTTACTCTACCTTGCTACTGCCTTGTTTAATTCCTGTTTACTCTACCTTGCTACTGCCTTGTTTAATTCCTGTTTACTCTACCTTGCTACTGCCTTGTTTAATTCCTGTTTACTCTACCTTGCTACTGCCCTGTTTAATTCCTGTTTACTGTACCTTGCTACTGCCTTGTTTATTTCCTGTTTACTGTACCTTGCTACTGCCTTGTTTACTGTACCTTGCTACTGCCTTGTTTAATTCCTGTTTACTCTACCTTGCTACTGCCTTGTTTAATTCCTGTTTACTCTACCTTGCTACTGCCTTGTTTAATTCCTGTTTACTGTACCTTGCTACTGCCTTGTTTAATTCCTGTTTACTCTACCTTGCTACTGCCTTGTTTAATTCCTGTTAACTTTACCTTGCTACTGCCTTGTTTAATTCCTGTTAACTATACCTTGCTACTGCCTTGTTTAATTCCTGTTTACTTTACCTTGCTACTGCCTTGTTTAATTCCTGTTTACTGTACCTTGCTACTGCCTTGTTTAATTCCTGTTTACTTTACCTTGCTACTGCCTTGTTTAATTCCTGTTAACTGTACCTTGCTACTGCCTTGTTTAATTCCTGTTTACTGTACCTTGCTACAGCCTTGTTTAATTCACCGTATTCAGTGAAACCTTGCAGATATTTTGATTGATTGATATTTTAATGTACATAGCTGTTGTCTGGATAGACTGATGCTTCAGTGTACCTGGCAGCTGTCCTGATTGATTGATTTATACTTTAGTGTACCTGGCAGCTGTCCTGATTGATTGATTTATACTTTAGTGTACCTGGCAGCTGTCCTGATTGATTGATTTATACTTTAGTGTACCTGGCAGCTGTCCTGATTGATTTATACTTTAGTGTACATTGTAGCTGTCCTGATTGATTGATTTATATTTTGATTGATTGATATTTTAATGTACATAGCTGTTGTCTGGATAGACTGATGCTTCAGTGTACCTGGCAGCTGTCCTGATTGATTGATTTATACTTTAGTGTACCTGGCAGCTGTCCTGATTGATTGATTTATACTTTAGTGTACCTGGCAGCTGTCCTGATTGATTGATTTATACTTTAGTGTACCTGGCAGCTGTCCTGATTGATTGATTTATACTTTAGTGTACCTGGCAGCTGTCCTGATTGATTTATACTTTAGTGTACATTGTAGCTGTCCTGATTGATTGATTTATACTTTAGTGTACATTGTAGCTGTCCTGATTGATTGATTTATACTTTAGTGTACCTGGCAGCTGTCCTGATTGATTTATACTTTAGTGTACATTGTAGCTGTCCTGATTGATTGATTTATACTTTAGTGTACCTGGTAGCTGTCCTGATTGATTTATACTTCAGTGTACATTGTAGCTGTCCTGATTGATTGATTTATACTTCAGTGTACCTGGCAGCTGTCTTGATTGATTTATACTTCAATGTACTTTGCAGCTGTTTTGATTGATTCTTAAATGTACTGTGTAGCTGTCTTGATTCATGCCATACATTGATTGATGGAAATGTGTCAGCAGTCGTCAGAGATCACCTGTTGTACCACTCCCAGGATACAATCATTTTCACCCTGGAGCTGATGTTTTCTCTCTTCCCTGTCTTTAGTTTTGTTCTCTCTCCCCCGTCTCTGCCCACAACACTTCCTTTAGTTCTGTTCTCTAGCTTCTCTGTTATATATTATCTATTTCCAGGTCCTGGAAAAACTAACAAGAAAAAGAAGAAGAGGAAGCAGAGCCATGCAGGTTTTGACGATGAGCTGGCAGACGTCAGCGAGAAATCTGTGAAGAAGTTCAGAGCTGGGTGAGGAATCCATTTTTATTTTCATTCCAGAAATCTTGTTTTGCAGGCGTTAAATGATACAAGGTTTGTGAGATAGACTGGGGGTGGGCTGTTTGTATGGAAGGAAACACTTTGTAATGGACAACAGAAGCTGGTGAGGGAGAGTGAGTTTAATTTGTCCTGGCTGATGAAGAAAGCTGCCCTGTCATCTATAATCTGTTGGGCCAAACTGTGACTTGGACATGAACACTGTGACTTGGACATGAACTCTGTGACTTGGACACGAACACTGTGACTTGGACATGAACACTGTGACTTGGACATGAACTCTGTGACTTGGACACGAACACTGTGACTTGGACATGAACACTGTGACTTGGACATGAACACTGTGACTTGGACACGAACACTGACTTGGACACGAACACTGTGACTTGGACACGAACACTGTGACTTGGACACGAACACTGTGACTTGGACACGAACACTGTGACTTGGACACGAACACTGTGACTTGGACATGAACACTGTGACTTGGACATGAACACTGTGACTTGGACATGAACACTGTGACTTGGACATGAACACTGTGACTTGGACATGAACTCTGTGACTTGGACATGAACACTGTGACTTGGACATGAACACTGTGACTTGGACATGAACACTGTGACTTGGACATGAACACTGTGACTTGGACACGAACACTGTGACTTGGACACGATGAACACTGTGACTTGGACATGAACTCTGTGACTTGGACATGGATTATATTTAGACAGAGAGCTGTGCAGCTTTGGCTTGACTCTGCCTGTGGACCTAAGAATGTTGGTATCAGGGGTGAACTAAAGTAGAAAGTTGCATGTTGTTAGAAATGTTGGTTACTCACTGAGAAAATGATGATTGGGCCACAAGCTGCTCCCAGACACAACATGATTGTTGTTGCCAGTGATGGCTCATATGTAGGCACTGCAAAACTGCAG